CAGACCCTATGCCCGTGTCACATAGTAAGGTCTCCTCTGATTGGCAGAAATCTTTTTTTAAAGGGGAGCTGTCGGGAACTGAACCGGGAACCTTTTGCAATGCAAAGCCGGTGTCTGGCCTCCTCCAGCACAAACCAATTTGTTCCAAGTTGTATTATTTGTCCCCCGGGCTCAGTACTGTCAACAGTGAGCAGCCAAGTCCTCTGCATGGAGTATTTCACAGTCCAACCTTGCAACGAGGCTGGATTTGAATCTGGGGCCTTGTAGCTCCCCTCCCTCTCTTTTAAGGAACAACAGCTCATTTTAGAGCAGACTGAACAACAACACGCAACACGTCGGCTAATAATATACTGACAATGTTTTTATAACACTATACTGTTTCAAAATACATAAGCAGAAGTCACAAACTAAAAAGAATCAAATAAATAGTCCGTGAACAGGAATGGAAGGGGTGGTAAGTCACTGTCAAAGATCACTGAAATGGAGGCAGAATAATAATAATACAGTGGTACCTCGCAAGACGAATGCCTCGCAAGACAAAAAACTCGCTAGACGAAAGGGTTTTTTCTTTTTTGAGCTGCTTCGCAAGACGATTTTCCCTATGGGCTTGCTTTGCAAGACGGAAATGTCTTGCAAGTTTGTTTCCTTTTTCTTAACACCGTTAATACAGTTGCGACTTGACTTCGAGGAGCAACTCATAGAACGCGGTGTGGTAGCCTTTTTTGAGGTTTTTGAAGACTTTGGTGATTTTTGAAGCTTTTCCAAAACTTTCCCGACACCGTGCTTCGCAAGACGGAAAAAAAATCGCAAGACGACAAAACTTGCAGAACGAATTAATTTTGTCTTGCGAGGCACCACTGTAATAATAATAATAATAATAATAATAATATTTATACCCCGCCGATCTGGCTGGGCTTCCCCAGACACTCTGGGTGGCTTCCAAAAAAATATTAAAATACTGTAATACATCAAACATTAAAAGCTTCCCTAAACAGGGCTGCCTTCAGATGTCTTCTAAAAGTCTGGTAGTTGTTGTTCTCTTTGACATCTGGTGGGAGGGCGTTCCACAGGGCGGGCGCCACTACCGAGAAGGCTCTCTGCCTGGTTCCCTGTAACCTCACTTCTCGCAATGAAGGAACCGCCAGAAGGCCCTCGGAGCTGGACCTCAGTGTCCGGGCAGAATGATGGGGGTGGAGACGCTCCTTCAGGTATCCTGGGCCGAGGCCGTTTAGGGCTTTAAAGCTCAGCACCAACACTTTGAATTGTGCTCGGAAACGTACTGGGAGCCAATGTAGGTCTTTCAAGACCGGTGTTATATGGTCTTGGCGGCTGCTCCCAGTCACCAGTCTAGCTGCCTTGTATAGAATGTGTTTAGTCTAGAATGCCTTTCCACAGTCAGTATCCTACAGATGTGAGATTATGGGTGCTCCAAACGTCGCAATAGGGTACTCCGAGCACAGCAGCAGACAGGACAGTTCTTCCAGGATAATGAACTGTTTCAATGAAAAATCTTCACCAGTGAATTAATAGCCCCCCAAAGGTACATCAGGGACGCGGGTGGCGCTGTGGGTAAAACCTCAGTGCCTAGGACTTGCTGATCGTATGGTCGGCGGTTCGAATCCCCGCGGCGGGGTGCGCTCCCGTTGCTCGGTCCCTGCTCCTGCCAACCTAGCAGAAAGCACATTAAGTGCAAGTAGATAAATAGGTACCACTCTGGCGGGAAGGTAAACAGTGTTTCTGTGTGCTGCGCTGGTGCTGGCTCACCAGAGCAGCTTCGTCACGCTGGCCACGTGACCCGGAAGTGTCTCCGGACAGCGCTGGCCCCCGGCCTCTTAAGTGAGATGGGCGCACAACCCTAGAGTCGGACACGACTGGCCCGTACGGGCAGGGGTACCTTTACCTTTAAAGCTACATCAAATGGCCTTGGATCAGCTATCACTAAAAAATGTAGCAAGCCGATCAGAAATATTGCTGTTTGGAACGTGGTCAGTGGCCCTGAGACCCTTTAAAATGACAACGTCCCTGACTGCCTGCTCAAAAGCTCCCTCTGGTTTTTGATCATGCATTTATTACGGTTTGTGCTCGATATGCTATTGGGGAGGTCAGACGTGCTCCCGCTTTCAGCACTGTTTCTTCCTGCCAAAGTTTGGTCAGCAATTGGTGCATATCCTGCACGTAGCTGTCAACTTACAGATTTGAAAATAAGGGGCCAGCAGCCAAAATAAGGGACCTGCAGCCTCACCTGTTCCAGGCACTCCAGTCTTCCTGTCCTCCTGCAGTCTGGTCAAACTCATGCTGGGTAGCTTCGAGAACACTGTCCAACCAACTTTGTAACCAGAGGTTCAACTGAATAGAATCTGAATCACATGCACCACAAGGCCTATGCAGCCTCAACTTAAGATGGCTCCCCGGCCTGGCTTTGCACTGCAAAGTTTGCAGCAGCACGTGCAACAAAATGGCGTCCAGCATTCAAAAACCTCCTCAGCTTGCGTTAACTAGCCACACACAAGGCATGCAAGCTCCACCCCCAGTCATTCTTAGACTTCTTAGTGGGTGAGCAACACAGCCAGGCAACACAGTTGGAGCCTCCCTCCTCCCTGGCCGGCAGGGAGGGAGGGAGAGGAGCTGCTTCCTTTGAAATTTAAGGGACATCATTTAAGGGACATCTATCAATAAGGGACAGCAGCGGGACATGGCGCTGGAATAAGGGACTGTCCCTTCAAATAAGGGACACTTGACAGTAATGATCCTGCAACTCCCTGCTGCAATCTCATGACCTCTTTTACACCACAAACGTTCTGGTTTGTTTTTGTGTCCCTCCCCCATTTTGTTGCCCTACCTGGACAGCAGTCATATGGTGTCATAATGGGGGGAACCATTGCAGAACATAGTACCTCCTTAATCTACAAGTTTGTAGAGTTGATGGTTTGTTTTTTTAGAAAGCGACTCTTTCATACCACGCAACCAGCTTCCAGCCTTAACAATAAATTTCAGATTTCTGCACAACTCAGCTGCTTCTTTGTGGGGTTCTTAGAGCGAATTCAAGTGACTTCTCTACAACATTGTCTTTTTGTTTTGAATCGCCGCTTCCAAAAAAATATTAAAATACTGTAGTACATCAAACATTAAAAGCTTCCCTAAACAGGGCTGCCTTCAGATGTCTTCTAAAAGTCTGGAGAAGCCCAACTGCGGCTATTGGGACGACAACTGGGCCAGGTAAAGCGAAGCCTCTTCAGGCCGTCTAAAGGTCCCCCCAAAATATAGTCCGGCCCCCCGCCAGAAGCATGGCTCTGCCCTCGCCCGTCCTGGAAGGATCCTTTTTAAAAAGTCCCCTATGCTCAGAGACTTTGCGCCTCTTCACTGGGGGAGATAGGAAGCCCAGAGCACTTGTTCTTTAGATGTCCCTTTTAGGAAGAGGCACGTAGCGAGACCATTGAGGTGAGGCTCACTGACCTCCCGGAAAAGCAAAAATGTGACCTTTTCCTGTTAGGCAAAGATCAGAAGACGACCCGGATGGTCGCCAGATTCTGTGTACGGATCTGTAGGTGCAGACCACCCCCCGACCCAAACCAGTTCGTTAAGAAAATCCCCAAACTCGGTTCCATGGGTGACTCCGAGTCATCTCTCTGCAGTAGCTTATCTTAAAGTTTTAAGTGTCTATACGCTTATCGCATTTATAAATTTTAAATTTATTGTTGCACATTGTTTTAAATGTTTGTTTTCCTTCTGGGATTGGACCCCCAAGTGTGTTTTATAAGCCGGTCTCCGACCGTAATAAATTATCTATCTAGTCCAGCCCCCCCCAAGGTCTGAGGGACAGTGGACCGGCGCCCTGCTGGAAAAGTTTGCTGACCCCTGGACTAGGATCTGGGTCTGGGTTCGAGTTCCTGCTCAGCCATGAAGCTTGATGGGCAGCCTTGCAGCCAGCCACTGCCTCTCGGTCTTGCGTGCCTCGCTGGAATTGCTGCAAGGATAACAACGTATGAGCTCCCTACGGGGAAAGTGAGACATTAGACGCAACAAACAACCAAACTGAACACGTGTGTATAAAAACATATTAGAGACAAAAAAATATTTCTTTTTTTTAAAAAAAAAGGGATATCAGATATCTTTATTTGGTGTCGGCTTTGTCATACCAGTCCAGTTTCCAAAAATGAAATTATTTAAGCCATTTGATGGCAGCGTTTGGACCTTTTGCACGGAAGATGAGAACTCCAGCTCCTCCCTGCTCAAGCGGTGGTGACATCAAGCGACAACTTCCCGGTGTGAAGCACCGCGCTTCTCCCCGCCACCCCCCAGGCCAGAGTCTTTCCATTTTCCGTTGGAGAGAAATGGAGGTTGCCATCCCGAGGACATCCACACAGACGTCAGCCCCGCTTCCTTTTGCATGGTGAGGATTTACCTCTGAGTAGGCACCTTGCCCACAAAGGTCTGTATAATTAAAGCTATGGTTTTCCCGGTGCAGTGGTGCCTCGGGTTAAGAACTTAATTTGTTCTGGACGTCCGTTCTTAACCTGAAGCACCACTTTAGCTAATGGGGCCTCCTGCTGCTGCCGCACGATTTCTGTTCTCATCCTGAAGCAAAGGTCTTAACCCGAGGTAATGTTTCTGGGTTAGCAGAGTCTGTAACCTGAAGTGTCTGTAACCCAAGGTACCACTGTAGTGATGAATGGAAGTGAGAGCTGGACCATAAAGAAGGCTGATCGCCAAAGAATTGATGCTTTTGAATTCTGGTGCTGGAGGAGACTCTTGAGAGTCCCATGGACTGCAAGAAGATCAAACCTCTCCATTCTGAAGGAAAACAGCCCTGAGTGCTGACTGGAAGGACAGATCCTGAAGCTGAGGCTCCAAGCCTTTGGCCACCTCATGAGAAGAGAAGATTCTCTGGGAAAGACCCTGATGCTGGGAAAGATGGAGGGCACAAGGAGAAGGGGACGACAGAGGATGACATGGTGGGACAGTGTTCTCGAAGCTGCCATCATGAGTTTGACCAAACTGCGGGAGGCAGTGGAAGACAGGAGTGCCTGGCGTGCTCTGGTCCAGGGGGTCACGAAGAGTCGGACACGACTAAACGACTAAACAACAACAAGGCACCTTATGCTGCAAGAGATCGCCCATTTATATTATTTAGAGGACCTCCAGTGAGTTGAATGTGCATGGGGGAGGGGGAGACGACCGCAAAAAGGTAAAATTTCCATCCGTTCATTGCTGCGTTCTTGTTTACCTCTGCCTACCTGCAGCAGGTGACTCCCTGCATAGTTGCGCAAAATGGAATGTGGCAAAGAAATGGCTCCTTGCTCCTCCTATAACATGCTCCCCTTCGCAGCCGCCAACAAACTGGCCTAGTCTATCCTTTGCAACCGCCCTTTCAGAAAGCCGGCCCTCTCTGCAATTCCGACAGGAGCATCGCAACAGCTCAGGGAGAGCTGGAAAACGGGCATTGTGCAAGTTTTTAGCCTCTTAAGAGCACCCTTCACCCTTTTTCAAACAGCGCTGGGTGGCAGGGAGGTGGATATTTTCAACTTGGTTCCCGGCGATGGGTAAAACAGCCGCCTCTATTGAAGCAAGAGGACAGTTCTGGGAAGGACGGACAGCTGCGAGATCACGCTGTGACACGGAGCAGAGGAAGACTTGTGCAGGAAAACCATGAAATCTCTGGCCGGCAGCCTTCCAGAGTGGATCACCGGCTGCCCTGTCCTTTGCTTGGCCCGTTGGTGAGAGGTGCAGACAGCTCAGTCTTCCTGAAGCGTCGCCCTCCGTTCCTGAAGTTTGCGTTCCAGTTCCTCGGTCATCCCTAACCAGAAAAACATAAGCATTGTGTGAGTGTGATAGGAATTTTATGGTCTTAGATATATGGTAATGTTCATAGTGCAGAGTCTGTCAAGACTGGCCCGTACGGGCAGGGGTACCTTTACCTTTACCTTTAATGTTCAAGGGATGCGGATGGCGCTGTGGGTAAAAGCCTCAGCGCCTAGGGCTTGCCGATCGATAGGTCGGCAGTTCGAATCCCCGCGGCGGGGTGCGCTCCCGTTGTTCGGTCCCAGCGCCTGCCAACCTAGCAGTTCAAAAGCACCCCCGGGTGCAAGTAGATAAATAGGGACCGCTTACCAGCGGGAAGGTAAACGGCGTTCCGTGTGCTGCGCTGGCTCGCCAGAGCAGCGATGTCATGCTGGCCACGTGACCCGGAAGTGTCTCCGGACAGCGCTGGCCCCCGGCCTCTTGAGTGAGATGGGTGCACAACCCCAGAGTCTGTCAAGACTGGCCCGTACGGGCAGGGGTACCTTTACCTTTACCTTTAATGTTCATAAGTGTACCAACCAAGCACGTACATAGATCAGCACAGGAAGGCCAACCTGGAACCATTTTGATTCCTAAACTGACCCAATCTTTTCTCTGCAAGGTCAAAATGGAAAAGCCTCCCCATTGTCTCTTTCCTCACAAATCCTGTCTTAAGGGCACATTTAAGAGATGAATAGGGTGTGAGCCTGTGACCTGGCCCAGGAACTATTTATCACTACAAAAGGATGACCAGGCTCCCCAGGCAATCCAATCAAGTGACCTGTCAGACAGGAGATAAACAAGGACAGGAGAAAAGCAACATTCAAATTTCTGTTTTAGATCGCCTTTTCTGTGATGTAGGTGTGATGTATCTGAGGTGTGGTCTTAGGTTACACCCCTTCTGTGATGTATGTTTGATGTTTCTGGGGGTGGTCTTGATCTACAGGGTGGCAATTTCAAAAGTCTTTATAAGGCCTTGCACACCATTTTTCTGGGTCCCTCCTCTCTCCTGCAGGTGAGGGGAGCACCCTGTTGCAACAGATCAATAAAGGCCAAGCCTACAGGCTGCTGTTTTGCTCCAAGTTATCCTGGTTGGTGTCTTTGTTTTTTGTCCAAGGGAGCCCTCGGATTTTTCTGTTAACAGTGTTTGTGTCTCTCTCTCTGTGTGTGTATGCGCAGCAGAGCTCTGGGGCTTAGGGGAAACATGGCAGGGAGCCCACATGAAATTTCACGTGAGTTTGGTGGAATTTCAGAATTCAACGGTGATTTTTAGAAACAGGGGCGCTGTCGTTCAACAAAGTAGCCCCCTCAATTTTTAACCCAAAGAGCAAACCCATTGCGATTACTGTGCCTAAGTCAGTCATGCTCATTAATTTCCATGGGTCTACTCTGAGTAGGATGAGCGTTTACTATACCCCGGGCTTTCCTTGCTTACTGATTTCACATCGGCTCACTATGTCAGGTTCCTATTGGAAGACCGGACAAACGCTAGAACATTAGCAGTGGCAAAGTTTTTATTGGTAGTTGCAAGAACCAATGATCCCTAGCTTTAAGTCTGAACAAAATGCTTGTTTAACCTGGAGGTAAAGGTAGAGGGACCCCTGACCGTTAGGTCCAGTTGTGGCCGACTGGGGTTGCGGCGCTCATCTCGCTTTATTGGCCAAGGGAGCCAGTATACAGCTTCCGGGTCATGTGGCCAGCAGGACTAAGCCGCTTCCGGCAAACCAGAGCAGCACACGGAAACGCCGTTTACCTTCCCACCTATTTATCTACTTGCACCTTGACGTGCTTTCGAACTGCTAGGTTGGCAGGAGCTGGGACCGAGCAACGGGAACTCACCCCATCACGGGAATTCAAACCGCCGACCTTCTGATCGGCAAGTCCTAGGCTCTGTGTTTTAACCCGCAGCGCCACCCGCGTCCCCAACCTGGAGGTTGTCTGAATTGTGCATTGCTTTGTAACAATTTGTTGGGTCTCTGGACCGTAATAAAGATTGATTGATGGAATTCACATCAGGAACAGAGGCACAGTGACTCTGAATTAACCATGGCAAGGCAATGGCCGCAAAGTTTGCCTATATGGCACTAGAGTCAAACAGAATAATCTTTACTTGCATCAGCCACTAGCCACAACAATAAAATGAAATACAGTTGTATCTTGGATCTCAAACGCCTTGGCTCTCAAAGAAATCGGCTCCCAAACGATCAAAACCCGGAAGTGAGTGTTCCAGTTTGCGAACAATTTGCAGAAGCTGAACATCCGACGTGGCTTCCGATTGGCTGCAGGAGCTTCCTGCAGCCAATCAGAAGCCGTGCCTTGGTTTCCAAACATTTTGGAAGTCGAACGGACTTCCGGAGCGGATTCCGTTCAACTTTCGAAGTACGACTATAAAATGTACTGAAGACAGAGGTTAAAACTTAACTATAGAAAATACATTTGGGAGGGGGGTTATAGTAATAATCAAATAATGGGTCTTATTCTAATTGCCCCCGCTAAAAACTTTGCACTAAGCAGACGGATAAATGCACAAGACTCACCAGTAGAAAAACTTCTAGGTAATGACATTGCTAGGCGAGAAGGGAGCGCCTGTCCAGTTTTCCTGGGGCTGGGTCCACAGGGAGATTTGCCGGGAGTCGGGAATACAGGGACAGCTTTAAACTCTGTGAGGTGGGAAATAACAAAGGGGACAGGGGAAAAAAACAACCTTAGCACTAGAGGCTGACAGGCTCCTTCTGTCTACAACCCAAGCGGAGGGCACAATTTTTTTATACACACCGTATTTTTCGCTCTATAAGACGCACCCGACCATAAGACGCACCTAGTTTTAGAGGAGGAGAACAAGAAGAAAATGTTCTCTCCCTCTCTGCTCAGCACCTCACCAGCAAAGCGGGAGAAGAAACGGAAGTGACTCCGTTTCTCCTCCCGCTTCGCTGAAGGGGCGCTGTGCAGAGAGGGAAAGCTGCGCAGAGGCTCTCCAGCGAAGCGAAGCCAGGAGAGCAAGAGGGATTGGTGCGCGCTGATCCCTGTTGCTCTCCTGGCTTCAGCGAAAGCTGCGCAACCTGCATTCGCTCCATAAGACGCACACACATTTCCCCATACTTTTTAGGAGGGGAAAAGTGCGTCTTATAGAGCGAAAAATACGGTACATGCCCCAGCCATTCTGGGCAGCTCCCAACAGAATATTAAAAACACGCTAAAACACCAAACATTATAAACTTCCTTAAACAGGGCTGCCTTCAGATGTCTTCTAAAAGTCAGATAGTTGTTTATCTCCTTGAAATCTGATGGGAGGGCGTTCCACAGGGCGGGCGCCACCACTTAGAAGGCCCTCTGCCTGGTTCCCTGTAACCTTGCTTCTCGCAGGGGGGGGAACTGCCAGAAGGCCCTCTGTGCTGGACCTCCGTGTCAGGGCTGAATGATGGGATGGAGATGCTCCTTCAGGTCTACTGGGCTGAGGCCATTTAGGGCTTTAAATGTCAGCACCAACACTTTGAATTGTGCTCAGAAACGTCCTGGGAGAAAATGTAGGTCTTTCAGGACCGGTGTTATGTGGTCTCAGTGGCCGCTCCCAGGCACCAGTCCAGCTGCCGCATTCTGGATTAGTTGCAGTTTCCGGGTCACCTTCCAAGGTAGCCCCATGTAGAGCGCATTGCAGTAGTCCAAGCGGGAGATAACCAGGACATGCACCACTCTGGCGAGACAGTCTGCGGGCAGGGAGCGTCTCATCCTGCGTACCAGATGGAGCTGGTAAACAGCTGCCCTGGACACCTTTATTCCTAAAAGTGCCACAAAGTATGTTCGCTTACCTTTGAATGGCTTGGTCTGTCTCATCTCAGCAACATCTGGGAAAAAGGGAAAAAGAGATAAAATCCAAAAGAAGTGGCTTAAGAAGATAAGAATAACCTCCTCTGGATTACTTCAAAGGGCTTATACTAGATGACCCAGCTCTAGAATTCCACGATTCTATGGCCAAGCAGAGGGATTCGAACTCGTGTCTCCCAAGTCCTAGTCCAACACCCTAACCACTACACCACAATAAACCACCTGACCATCGGCTGGGGCTGATGGGAGTTAAGAGTCCAGGTTGCCAGTTCTGCATCTCTGTTTTAGGGTCCTGCATATTGCAAGGAAAGGGACATGGGTGGCGCTGTGGGTTAAACCACAGAGCCTAGGACTTGCCGATCGGAAGGTCGGCGGTTCGAATCCCCGCGGCAGGGTGAGCTCCCGTCGTTCGGTCCCAGCTCCTGCCCACCTAGCAGTTCGAAAGCACCCCTAAGTGCAAGTAGATAAATAGGTACCACTTTATAGCGGGAAGGTAACGGCGTTTCCGTGCACTGTGCTGGTGCTGGCTCGCCAGAGCAGCTTCATCACGCTGGCCACGTGACCCGGAAGTGTCTCCGGACAGCGCTGGCTCCCGGCCTCTTAAGCGAGATGAGCACGCAACCCCAGAGTCGGACACGACTGGCCCGTACGGGCAGGGGTACCTTTAAAAGGTAAAGGTACCCCTGCCCGTATGGGCCAGTCTTGACAGACTCTAGGGTTGTGCGCCCATCTCACTCTATAGGCCGGGGGCCAGCGCTGTCCGGAGACACTTCCGGGTCACGTGGCCAGCGTGACAAAGCTGCATCTGGGCGAGCCAGCCGCAAGCACTACGGAAACGGCCGTTCTACCTTCCCATGCAGTAAAGCGGTCCCTATTAATCTACTTGCACCCGGGTGCTTTTCGAACTTGCTTAGGTTGGCAGGCGCTGGGACCCGTAGCAGCGGGAGCGCACCCCGCCGCGGGGATTCGAACCGCCGACCTTTCGATCGGCAAGCCCTAGGCGCTGAGGCTTTTACCCACAGCGCCACCCCGCGTCCCAGGGGTACCTTTACCTTCACCTTATTATTGCAAGAACCAGCTACCATAGGCCAGCGCAACGTAGCTGGTTAGAGCACGGACTTTGACATTCAAGCCTTTATGCATCACAAACCTTCTTGTGTGAGTCATGGGTCAGTGACTCTCAGCCATTTTGGGTGGGTGACAATTTTTATTACATTCGGGAATTTTAGCCAATTAACATCAAATTAATACAAATTTAAGGGTTGAGTTACCGCCCTGCTTCCATGATGCTCCCTTGCCCCTCCCTCCCTCTCTGCTCATTTCTAATTCCATTTCAATACTTAAAACATTTTAGCATTCTTATTTTTTCCCCTTCTTCGTTTCCCACCGGCTGTACATATTTCAGTTCCCGACTCTCCCTTTCATCCTGGCCTCCCTTGCAGGATTGTTGTGAGAGCAACACAGAGGCCCATGAAATAACCACAAAGCCTGTTCAGATCCTATCTAAAGACCCGTCGGCAAAGAATTACCTTCGTCGTTCACGTACGTCTGGTCTGGGACATCTTCGGCCTCATAGACATGCTCAGGCTTGGAAGTCCGTGCGGGAATTGCGGGTTGGAATGGCGGAGGGGGAAGCAAGCCTTTCGGAGACTGGGAATTCTTTCCTTCTCTGGCTGCACCTGCTGTGTGGACAGATGGATGCAATTTGGACATGCTAGGATGGAGAAGGGATGCGGGTGGCACTGTGGGTTAAACCACAGAGCCTAGAGCTTGCCGTTCAGAAGGTCGGCGGTTCAAATCCCCGCGACAGGGTGAGCTCCCGTTGCTCGGTCCCTGCTCCTGCCAACCTAGCAGTTTGAAAGCACCTCAAAGTTCAAGTAGATAAATAGGTACCACTCTGGCGGGAAGGTAAACGGCGTTTCCGTGCGCTGCTCTGGTTGGCCAGAAGCGGCTTAGTCCTGCTGGCCACATGACCCGGAAGCTGTACGCCGGCTCCCTCGGCCAGTAAAGCGAGATGAGCACCGCAACCCCAGAGTCAGTCACGACTGGACCTAATGGTCAGGGGTCCCTTTACCTTTACCTTACTGAGCAGCACACTCCCGTGGCAGGAACTTCCACGGGGGGTGGGGGCAGTGATGGACTCCTACTTAAAAAAATTCATGGAGGAGAGAGCTACCCAGAGACACAGCTGTCTTCCACTTTCCTTGGCCTCCAAACATAGGACCAGATGCTAAAGACCATTGGTAAAGGTAAAGGACCCCTGGACGGTTAAGTCCAGTCCAAGGCGACTATGGGGTTGCGGCACTCATCTCACTTTAAGGCCGAGGGAGCCGGCGTTTGTCCACAGACAGCTTTCTTGGTCATGTGGCCAGCAGGACTAAACCGCTTCTGGCGCAACGGGACACAGTGATGGAAACCAGAGCGCACGGAAATGCTGTTTACCTTCCCGCCAGAGTGGTACCTATTTATCTACTTGCACTGGTGCACTTTCAAACTGCTAGGTTCGCAGGAGCTGGGACGGAGCAACGGGAGCTCACTCCGTCACGGGGATTCGAACCCCTGACCTTCTGATCGGCAAGCCCAAGAGGCTCAGTGGTTTAGACCACAGCGCCACCCACGTCCCTATAAAGACCATAGGAAGGTTGGGTGTGGCATCCCAAACTTCTGGCCCCTGGGGAAGAGGAACAGGGAGGTTAACATGAGTTTAGCCTAAGGATTAGTGCAAGCAAACTGTCACACCTCTTGGGGGTCGTGGCAGGATACCGGGCATGCGCGGGGCCACCAGGGCAGTCTCTCCACTTTCTTTATCCGTCTCCATGATCTCTGCAAAACGAGAAGCAACTGCAATTACAGATCTTGGCAAACACAGAAACAAAAGTAGAAGCTCTCACTAAGTCTGTGTATTTGTCCCATGTCTGCAACGGAAACAAACCCAGCGAAAGACCAGTTGTTCTCCTCTGCTGCTGTTGTTGCCATAGAAAAATTTTACACATCCCTTGGGAAGACAGGCAAACGAATGCCAGTGTACTGGAAGAAGCAAAGATCACCAGTGTCAAAGCGATGATTCTTCAACATCAACTTCGTTGGACTGGTCATGTTGTGCGGATGCCTGATGATCGTCTTCCAAAGCAACTACTTTATTCCGAACTTAAAAATGGAAAGCGTAATGCTGGTGGTCAACAAAAGAGGTTTAAAGACTGTCTCAAGGAAAATCTTTAAAAATGTAGTATAGACACCGACAACTGGGAAACACTTGCCTGCGAGCGCTCCAGTTGGAGAACAGCCTTTACAAAAGGTGTCGTGGGCTTTGAAGACACTCGAACTCAGGACAAAAGGGAGAAACGTGCTAGGAGGAAGACACACTTGGCAAATCCACACTGTGATCAACTCCTGCCCAGAAGCCTATGTGCCCACTGTGGAAGGATGTGTGGATCCAGAATTGGCCTCCACAGTCACTTACGGACTCAGGGTTAAAACCATGTTTATGGAAGACAATCTCACTCGGCTATGTGGGATCAGAGAAGGAGAAGAAGTTTTTCAGGGCACTAGTGATATGGAGTTGGTGACATTGATTTTTTGGCCCTGTTTAAATTGCATTTCCTTTGCATGGAAGCGCAGAAATAATTACACATTTGACTGTTTAAATTTGCAAGTTACGTTGAGCTTTGTAAAACCAACGGCAACATAAAAAAGTAAAGGGACCCCTGACCACTAGGTCCAGTCGTGGCCGACTTTGGGGTTGCAGCACTCATCTCGCCTTATTGGCCGAGGGAGCTGGCGTACAGCTTCCGGGTCATGTGGCCAGCATGACTAAGCCGCTTCTGGCGAACCAGAGCAGCGCACGGAAATGCCGTTTACCTTCCCGCCGGAGTGGTACCTGTTTATCTACTTGCACTTTGACGTGCTTTCAAACTGCTAGGTTGGCAGGAGCAGGGACTGAGCAACGGGAGCTCACCCCATGGCGGGGATTCGAACCACTGACCTTCTGATTGGCAAGTCCTAGTCTCTGTGGTTTAACCCACAGCGCCACCAATGGCAACATAGATTAAGTTAAATACCGGGCAGCGAGTCAAAGTACGTGCAGGTCCTGCTACCTGAGAATGTTGCCTTCTCCGGTATCTCTCCTTAGGCGAGGGTTCACATAACAAGTCAACAATTTCCTTTGATTCCTATGGGGAAATTTGTAACGCGTTCCGACAACGTAGAGGAGGGCTTGAGCCACGAACCTACCTAGAGTCATGGAGTAGCTCTCGTCGAGAGATAGGGGCACCAGAATGCGCTTGCTGCTGTTTACAAAAAATTCCACCACCTTGTCAAGCGATGAGCAGCGAAACTGAGGAAAGAGAAAGAGGGGGACACGATTCACTAACATTTACCAGGGCTTGGCGAAGAGTTGGAAATTCTCTATTTTCAGCATTGCAGTAACCCCAAGAACAGCCCTGCAGGGGAAATGGTTGTGTGTGAATCTGTCCCTTTTTGTTTCTCTCGGTTTCTCGTTTTCCCCGTCTTAAGTTCAGCTCTCTGCCTTTCCACATCAGTCTGTGAATTGCTTTTTTTTAAAGTCCTCAAGATAAACTCGCCAGCAAATTTGTCTAATATGCAACGCTTCTGCATGCAGTTTCCCCTAAGCAAACCTTTTCATAAATATATATATTTTCCCTAAGATCATGTAAGTTATTTCCACAGATATATGGATCTGTTTGAATATCTACAGTGGTACCTCAGGTTAAGTACTTAATTCGTTCCGGAGGTCCGTTCTTAACCTGAAACTGTTCTTAACCTGAAGCACCACTGAAGCCTATGGGACCTCCCACTGCCGCTGCTGTGCGATTTCTGTTCTCATCCTAAAGCAAAGTTCTTAACCTGAAGCACTATTTCTGGGTTAGCGGAGTCTGTGTACCTGAAGCGTATGTAACCTGAAGCGTATGTAACCTGAGGTACCACTGTATATGTGTACATTACTCCAAATGGCGTACAAAATGTGTTCAGGGGTTCCAACCAAAAATCGGAAGAATTTTTGTGAAGTATGTATGGTTTTTTATTTGCTTGGAGGATTTATTTTTTCCCCTATGATTTGTATTAAATTTTCTGTTTTACATTTAGAATATCCATTTAAACATCCTTAAAATATCAGCAACTTCCCTTCTCCTTCTCTGGTTCATTTTGCATATCAGAAATCCGTGGATATTTTACAAAAAGTAAACCGTTCAGTATGCCGCCATTGTATCCATCAAAACTTATTTACCCTGTCTAATTTATCTTAATGCTGCCAACATTTTCAGGTGTGCACAATTTCCCCACATATATTCAACAAACGTTTTCCAATCTTCCCTAAACGTATGTTTTTCTTGTTCTCTTATTCTGTGTGTTAGGTCCATCAGTTTAAGCTGCCATTCTTCTTTAGCTGGGACCTCACTCGTTTTCCAGATTATTCTTTTTATAAGCAAATATGCAAATTGCTCCAGAAATATGGGGAGCTGAACTTTAAGATGGGGAAAATGAGAAACGGAGAGAAACAAAACTGACAAATTCTTCCATTGCATGAGCCTGCCTGTTCTTGCTTGCTCACCTTGATACCTTGTGCCCCCTTGTCCGCACACACATTTGGGCCTAATCCTGTGTCCCTAATCTTGCTGTCTTCTGGCTCTCACAGATTGTTATGCAACTACTAAGTCAAGCCTGCCTTTCAGGGATCAAATCGTGAATTGAAATGTGAGAAACTTCTTGTTACTTTTAAGGAAATACTCTTGATTCTTTAACATAAAGTCCCATGATATATTGTCAAAGGCCTTTTCAGCGTCCACAAATATTAACATTGCTTCTCATTCCTGGCATTCAAATATTCTAAAATATTGATTATATTTCTTATATTGTCTTTCATCTGTCTGCCAGGAAGGAAACCCGCTTAACCTTATGTATAATCTCTTGTAATAACGTTTTCATTCTCTTTGCTAGTATACTAGCAAAAATTTTATAATCTGTGTTTAACAGTGAAATAGGCCTGTAATTTTTAACTTGCGTTAGGTCAGAGTCTTGTTTTGGAATAAGTGTAATAAAAGCTTCTTTCCATGTTTCTGGGATTTCTCTGTTCTTCATAATATTGTTCATAACTTCTTTCATTGGTACAAGCAGGATGTGTCTCATTTCTTTATAGTAGCTTGCCGTAAATCCATCTGGTACTGGAGACTTTCCTTTTTTTAAATAAGGAAAGACTCTTGTGTCTGTATTCTTTTAAGAGAAACCAGTTGCTCTCTGGGGTCTCAGGTGAAGAAAGGTCTTGGCCCGCCATCTGCTAACCGGTCCTTTCAACTCACGATATGTAGGATTTACCGTATTTTTCACTCTATAAGACGCACCAGACCACAAGACGCACCTAGTTTTTGGAGGAGGAAAACAAGGAAAAAAATATTCTGAATCTCAGAAGCCAGAACAGCAAGAAGGCATCGCTGCGCAGCGAAAGCAGCAACCCCTCTTGGTGTTCTGGCTTCTGGGATAGCTGCACAGCCTGCATTTGCTCCATAAGACGCACACACACACACATTTCCCCTTACTTTTTAGGAGGGAAAAAGTGAGTCTTATAGAGCAAAAAATACGGTAATCTGGAACCTTGTCCTTACAAAACATTTGCCCTGCCACCTAGTTGAATGACGGCCCCAGCACAACTCACCGGCTCTTCAACATCAATGATGTATTCTCCATCGGTCAGGTTGATTTTATAGTGCTTTATAGACACGATCCTGCATCGGATACAGGGAAAAGGGGAGAATTCAGCAATGTCTTTTTGTAAGAATTGAGGTGTTTGTTTTTTAAAGGGTTTTTTATTCACAAATTTAACAAGGAAGAAAACAAAAGCAAAAGAATGGGTGGGGGATAAAGGAAAGAAAAAGAGATTATGTAAAATTTGTAGGCTAAACCCGCCTTATATAACCAGCATGCTTCAGTCTAATAAATGCATGAAGGGTTAATGCCATAGAGTAAGCTATCCTGACAGGCTTTGCCTATGTCATTTTCCCTTACCTTGGGAGGAAAGAGGTAACCAAGCTTTCCTTCTCTGAATTGCTCCCTCCAACCGCATGGCTTTAACAAGCCTCTTCTGTTTCAGACAAGAATGGATCCTGAAACTAGCTTTTCCCTATACGCTATAGTTTAGCTCTTACCATTTTGTAACCAATAACTTTTTTTTCTGCCTGTGCATCTTCTTCGAACTGCTGCATGGAAAAGCACATGACTCTGACCTTTGGAGCATTGGTAAGTAAACCTTTTTATAACTTTCAAACTTGTGGTCTGCTTCTATTCTAGGGGAAGCGGAAAACTTTAGAAGAAGCTCTTAAAGAGAATATTTATGGAGTTCGCTGGAAAGGGCACATTTTAAAGTTTTGCAGCCTATATTTCAACGCTTTTCTTTGTTGCATGTTTGGCTGTGTTCAATTTTAAGCTTGTGTCTTGGCTTCAAAGGATGTTTTCCCCAACAAAATCACCATCAGGTCATATGAAGGACATTAAGGGCAAAATATATATCGATATATCATCCAAAACTGGTTTGAAGTCCATATGATTTCTGTTTCATGAATTTTGAGCTGTCAATGTAACACAAATCATGATGTACCGTATTTTTCGCCCCATAGGGCGCACCGGCCCATAGGGCGCACCTAGTTTTTTTTGGGGGGGGAAATAAAGAAAAAATATATATTTCCCCTCCAGGCACGGGGCTGGGGCGGGGGAAGCCCGAGCTTCCCCCGACCCCAGCCCCCAGAACAGGCTGCTATCCGCAAGCCTAGGGAACCCGCAGGAAGTCGCGCCGGTCTCCCCAGGCTTGCGGATATCTGCCCGAAGGCTTAGGGATGCAAGCATCTCTCTTCGGGATGCAGGCAACTCCGCAAACCAGGTTGGGGAACAGCGGGTTGGCGGCGCTCCACCTCCCCGTTGTCCCCCGAGCTTGTGGGGCTGCCCGATATCTGCCCGAAGCCCGGGGCGCACTGTGTAGCGCGCCCCAGGCTTCGGGATGCAGGCTGCTATCCGCAAGCCTTGGGAGCCCGACGGGAACTCCCATGGAGCTCCCAAGGCTTGCAGATAGCTTCCTGAAGCCTGGAGAGCGAGAGGGGTCCGTGCGCACCGACCCCTCTCGCTCTCCAGGCTTCAGCGAAAGCCTGCATTCGCCCCATAGGGCGCACACACATTTCCCCTTCATTTTTGGAGGGGGAAAAGTGCGTCCTATAGGGCGAAAAATACAGTATGTGTGTGTGTGTGTGTTCGCTATACAAAAATCACAGTGTGGGAAAAACCGTGAAGCCAGCTAATGCTTCTCTCAGTTCTTGCAGCCCCTATTAATTCTGCAAGCTCAATTCTCCTGCGCCTCATGCAGGGGGGGCAGCGAAAAAACAGACAATAAGGAACGGGGGGGGGGATTGAGTATATCACAATTATTCCTAGTGGTCCCCCATGACTCAGACACACAGCCCACTCAGATGAGAGGCATATAAATACAGAGGTATCTCAGTTTTCGAGCACCTCAGAAGCTGAATGTTTCGGTTTTCCGAACACCAAAAACCCGGAAGTAATTGCGTTCTGTTTTCAAACGCTTTTCGGAAGCCAAATGACTTCCACTGAGTTTTTTTATTATTATTTTTGCCATTGAAACTGGAGACCGCCATTTGCGCCTCTGTTTTCAAACGTTTCGGAAGTCGGATGATCTTCAGGGACGGATTACGTTCGAAAACTGAGGTACCACTGTAATAAAATCGTCGTCATCATTATAATATTGTGGACCCAATATCGTGGGCTTCCCTTCGAGATGAACTTCCAGCGCTTACTGAAGACTTTGTATTGTCGGCAGGCTGTCTAATTGAGTTCTGGTTTTATAGTTTTAATTCATTTTTTTAGTCTTGTTTTCATTGGATCTCCACTTGGAGATGACTGCAATGATGCGATATGCAAGTCGTTGAAACAAATAAATAATATTGTAATATATATATATATTTTAAGTGAACAACAATGAAAACAAAACCTTTTAACACATTAGAAGCAGGAGACCAGCAAGGGAGACGGCTGGACCTTTGGATGACAAAGGAGGCGATGGTGGACTAAAGGAGGAAAAGGAATTTTCTGCAATGGCTTTGCCTTGCCAAACTCACCCGTTCGCCTTCAGCCGGGTGGTCACAGAGACGCTCTTGCCATCCCCTCCTGGCCGTAGCAACATATTCCCACAGTTTTCGTTCTTCTCCAGAAGGACTTCGGCCTCCGTCCTGGAGACCTTAAAGAAACAGCTGGGGAGGAAATAAATAAAGCAGAGATCTTTTGCAAAAACTACAGCCTTGGCCCAGACGGCTTTCCCGTCTTAGACAGCCCGGCATTGTGTGTGAATAATCTTCTGCTGCATTGCAAGGAGTGTTAAAGGTAAAGGTAAAGGTACCCCTGCCCGTACGGGCCAGTCTTGACAGACTCTAGGGTTGTGCGCCCATCTCACTTAAGAGGTCGGGGGCCAGCGCTGTCCGGAGACACTTTCCGGGTCACGTGGCCAGCGTGACAAAGCTGCATCTGGCGAGCCAGCGCAGCACACGGAAACGCCGTTTACCTTCCCGCCAGTAAGCGGTCCCTATTTATCTACTTGCACCTGGGGGTGCTTTCGAACTGCTAGGTTGGCAGGCGCTGGGACCGAGCAACGGGAGCGCACCCCACCGCGGGGATTCGAACCGCCGACCTTTCGATCGGCAAGCCCTAGGCGCTGAGGCTTTTACCCACAGCACCACCCGCGTCCCACACAAGGAGTGTTGGCGGGACTTAAAAAACGTTTGCCCTGCTTGGTGGGATCCAAATGAGAGCAAGGGCAGCCTCAGCAAGCATCATGCCATTGTTCCTGGTTGCTAAGCAACAGCTCCGCCAGTCCCCCTCTTGGCCAACAAACTGTAGCACTTGCAGAATTAACCCCTAAGTTGCAAACTGAATGATCCCTGCTGTTGCACTTCCAACACGTGTCAAGGTACGCTCTCCTCGATAAGTGCTGTACAGTGGTACCTCCGGTTACGAATGGGATCCGTTCCAGAGGCCTGGTCGTATCCCGAAATCTTGGTAACCAGAGGCACCCTTCTGTGCACGCGTGCGGCACAATTAAGCACTTCTGCCCATGTGCGCGGCGCGCATACACTTCTGGGTTGCCGCGTTTGCAACCCGAAAGTTACATTACTCGAAGGTAGCATAACCCGAGGGTCCACTGTAAAAGGAAAACTGCAGGGTGAAAAATTGTAGCCCTACTAAGTTTAAAAGTCACCAGTAACACCGAGTGCATATTATTTCCCCTGGCAAAATATAAACACATCTTTGCCTCCAGGGGTTTACAGTCCACTCACTCTGGAAGCGGCTTCTCGACTCTCATGTCAGCTTTGGATCGACGTTCCTTTTCCTTCTCGAGTGCTTCAGACAACATGCAGAAGTGCCCAGGGAGCAAACTTAGGGTGGTTGGGACTTTCATCTACGGGAGAACAGAGTTTGGGGTTAGAGGTGTTGCTTAAGTCACTTCAACAATGCAGATGGAGCCTGGAGATAAAAGAAATCCTGACAGCACTTTACAGTGGTACCTCGGCTTACATACGCTTCAGGTTACAGACGCTTCAGGTTACAGACTCCGCTAACCCAGAAATAGTGCTTCAGGTTAAGAACTTTGCTTCAGGATGAGAACAGAAATCGTGCTCCGGTGGCGCGGCGGCAGCAGGAGGCCCCATTAGCTAAAGTGGTGCTTCAGGTTAAGAACAGTTTCAGGTTAAGAACGGACCTCCGGAACGAATTAAGTACTTAACCCGAGGTACCACTGTACTGAACAAAAGCAGTGTGTATAATTTGAGAAGTAAACCAGCCTTGTAGCAGAGAGATTTACAGTAGGGAGACATTCAACCAAACGTTCAGAGGGAAAATTCTCTCTGAACTACTCAGCCAATCAGAGTGCATGCTACCTCAGCAAACGTGATGTCACTTGGCTTGGTTGCTCGGCAACACCCCCGCCCCGCCCCTCTCTTGGCTGTTTGACTGAAACACAAGTAGAATGAACCATTTAGTTAATGATCTCTGCTGTTGCACTTCCGACGTAATAAATAGTCATTTCATCTAGGACTGCAGCTAGGGAGAAGGGTTAAATCACCCCACAACGAGTGAGATAATCTTCTGACGCTATTTACATGTTCTAAACCCTACATGTTAAATCCAAAAATTTCACACTGGACCTATTTACAATTGAAAACCTCCCCTTTTGCAGGGCTAAGCTTCTATTTGATTACCGTATTTTTCGCTCTATAAGACGCACCAGACCACAAGAAGCACCTAGTTTTTGGAGGAGGAAAACAAGGAAAAAAAATATTCTGAATCTCAGAAGCCAGAACAGCAAGAGGGATCGCTGCGCAGTGAAAGCAGCGATCCCTCTTCCTGTTCTGGTTTCTGGGATAGCTGCGCAGCCTGCATTCGCTCCATAAGACGCAGACACATTTCCCCTTACTTTTTAGGAGGGAAAAAGTGAGTCTTATAGAGCAAAAAATACGGTAGTTCCCGTTGTCCCAAGCTAGAGATTTTGGGTTGTATTCAACTATGTTGTACTCAGAGTAGACTCACTGAAATGCATAGCCCTAAGTCTGTCAGGCGCATTCATGTCCTTATTCTGAGTAAGACTAACACGGGATGTAAACTTTTGCGAGCCAAAACTTCCTGATTTATCCCTTAAATGGCCTCTCTGAATTGCCCCGACGTCAGTTTCTCTTCCCACGTGGTGGTGGTCGGGTGCTTAAACTATCAATTGCTCTCCATAGATCTTTGCTTCCTTTTAAAAAACATGACAAAAAATCACTAAAACACAAGAAGAAGAAGGAGGAGGAGGAGGAGGAGGAGGAGGAGGAGGAGGAAGAGGAGGAAGAGGAGGAGGAGGAGGGGGAGGAGGAAGAGGAGGAGGAGGAAGAAGGAGGAGGAAGAAGAAGAAGAGGAGGAGGAAGAAGAGGAGGAGGAGGAAGAAGAAGAGGAGGAGGAGGAGGAGGAAGAGGAAGAAGAGGAAGAAGAGGAGGAGGGAATAAACTCACCTCCACAACCGTGAGAATAAAACCTTTCCATAGCTCTCGCGACTCAAGGCTTTCCATCTGAAAAGAACAATCCCAGTTTTAAAAACTTAACTTTGTCAATGTTAACCAATTCAATATTGTATACCAGGGTTAGACAACATGGTGCCCGTCATCTTTGACGATTAAGAGATTAAGTGCAGATTTTGAAGGAACGGGCTGTGTTTCATTTCTCGTTCTGCCTGGGAAAGTGAGACTCTGATAGCCATTGCTGAATCGCTCTTCCAAACCTCTCCCTCCAACATAATCAACTTAAAGACCTACAAATATCTGTGCTAGTACTGTTTGTACAAGAAAGGATGGCTGTGATGTAGATCTTTGCAACCTAAAGATATACAAACACCTGCGCTGTTCCCTGTTACATATTAGCTGGACAGAGTTAGGTCTTTGTAACCTAAAGATCTACAGATAACGGTATTGTACCCCAAGCATACTGGAAACAAAAGCAGAGCAGATATCTATGATCCAAGAACAAACGGTTTTAGCTAAACCGGCCCTGTTGTAAACATCTTTTTAAAAAATAAAAATAAAAAAATTCTACAGGACACTCAGTGAACATGGGCACCGTTTTTTGTTTCACATACAATGAAAATATTGATGAAGGGAATTCTGTTCAACACAGACAAGGAAAGTTGCAGGAAGACTTTAATCCAGAAGGTTTTTGACTTCCTTTCTTAAAAAAAGAATTATTTATTTATACTTTTCAAGTTTATACATTCCACTAGTTTTATGCATTTCACTGATTTTACATTCATTTTGACATTTCAGAACTTGACTTCCATCCCCCCTTCTTCTTAATTGTATTTCATTATTATTAATATAAAGGTAAAGGGACCCCTGACGGTTAGGTCCAGTCGCGGCCGACTCTGGGGTTGCGGCGCTCATCTCGCTTTACTGGCCGAGGGAGCCGGCGTACAGCTTCCAGGTCATGTGGCCAGCAGGACTAAGCCACTTCTGGCAAACCAGAGCAGCGCACGGAAACGCCGTTTACCTTCCCGCCGGAGTGGTACCTATTTATCTACTTGCACTTTGTGCTTTCAAACTGCTAGGTTGGCAGGAGCTGGGACTGAGCAATGGGAGCTCACTCTGTCGCAGGGATTCAAACCACTGACCTTCTGATCGGCAAGTCCTAGGCTCTGTGGTTTAACCCACAGCGCCACTCCTTCTTAACTGTATTTCAGTTCAACAATTCCTTCGATAAAATACATATTTTGTGATGTGCAGATAGCTTGAGATACCTATTAGGTCCATCAATTACCATATAGCATATATTCAACACACAAAAAACAGTGACAATTTGTTGTTGACAAAGGACAGCTGGACATAGAAAGGGCCCATTACCTTCAGTAGCTTAGGGCCTCATCAAACCTAAATCCTGAGCAGGGCGTTAAAAAAGTTGCAAGTCTCATCACCTAGGCACTTCTGCGGAATAAGACAAATTCCAGCACATCTACGAGGGTGTGTGAGGCCAATTTAGGCGCTGTGCCATTTTGGCTCCCTAACTGACCAAATGTTTTCTCTGCAAAGTCAAAGGGAAATGGAAAAACCTCCCCACTGTCTTTTCCTTCACAAATCCTGTTTTAAGGGTATGTCTGTGTATGAATAGGGCAAGCCTGTGACCTGGCTCAGGAACTAAGTATTTGTCATTACAAAAGACTGGCCAGGCTCCCCAGGGTATCCAATCAAGTAAGCATTAACTGGTAACCTGCCAGACAGGAGTTAACAACGCACTCAGATTTCTGTTGTAGACCACCCCTTTCTGTGATGTAGGTACGATGTGTCTGCGGGTGGGCTTGGACTCCAGGGCGGGCAATTTAAAATGTCTATATAAGGGCGGGCACACCTTTGTTTTGGGTCCTCCTCCTTTCTCCTGCGTGTGAGGGGAACATCCTGTTGCAACAGTTCAACAAAGATCAGGCTTACTAGCTGCTTTGCTTCTCGATATTCTCTGGTTGGCCTCTGTTCTTTTCTCCGACTGATGGAGAACCTGCAAAGGACTCTAGAAGGGCTCTTGTGTCCCCCATAAGGGCAGATTTTTGTTTATTATGATAGTTTATGCATAAACTGGGGATGCGGGTGGCACTGTGGGTTAAACTACAGAGTATAGGACTTGCCGATCAGAAGGTCAGTGGTTCGAATCCCCGTGACGGAGTGAGCTCCCGTTGCTCGGTCCCTGCTCCTGCCAACCTAGCAGTTCGAAAGCACGTCAAAGTGCAAGTAGATAAATAGGTACCACTCCAGCGGGAAGGTAAACGGCATTTCCGTGTGCTGCTCTGGTTCGTCAGAAGCAGCTTAGTCCTGCTGGCCACATGACCCGGAAGCTGTACGCTGGCTCCCTTGGCCAATAAAGCGAGATGAGCGCCGCAACCCCAGAGTCGGCCACGACTGGACCTAATGGTCAGGGGTCCCTTTACCTTATGCATAAATCGCTTGGAGTTTTTGACGATCAATGGAACAAGCCTCATCTCTCATCTGCAAGCAAGGAGATATCTTTGGACTTGGCACAAAGGATCTCTTACCTTCAGTTTCACTTCCTGGCTTCGCGTTTTTAGGTTCAGTCCCACCCCGTCCGTGGGCCAGGCCGCCACAGTTCGTGGGGGGTTTTCATCAGCAACGGACAGGAAATCAGCCAGGTCAATTTTCTCAACGTGCTGCGGGGAGGAAGTGCAAGTAGAGTCAACGCCCAAGTTTTAGTCCTCATGATTTTTTTTAAAAAAGTGCTCCGTCTCTCTGCAGAGAGCTAACTCCTTCCTCCTCACTTTGCGCCTCCTTCCTGCTCACTTTGCAGCTGTCCACCTTCTTTTTAAAATATATATATAAAGGTAAAGGTAAAGGGACCCCTGACCATTAGGTCCAGTCGTGGCCAACTCTGGAGTTGCGGCGCTCATCTCACTTTATTGGCCGAGGGAGCCGGCGTACAGCTTCCGGGTCATGTGGCCAGTATGACTAAGCCGCTTCTGGTGAACCAGAGCAGCGCATGAAAATGCTGTTTGCCTTCCCGCCGGAGCGGTACCTATTTATCTACTTGCACTTTGACGTGCTTTCGAATTGCTAGGTTGGCAGGAGCAGGGACCGAGCAACGGGAGCTCACCCCGTCGCGGGGATTCGAACCGCCGACCTTCTGATCGGCAAGTCCTAGGCTCTGTGGTTTAACCCACAGCGCCACCCACGTCCCCTTAAATATATATACATTTTTATTAATTTTTTAACATATCACTTCCAACAGTCATTTAACATGCTTTCTTATCTTATACAATATTTTGGACTTCCGTCAACAACCTCTGAAGATTTTCCATTCTTTATCACTTATTCTGCATTTCTTAATTTCTCTATTACTTTTAATTATCATTAACTAATCATTCTCTTCATTGTCTTCCTTGCAATATTTCACATAGTCCTCCTTACAGAACTTCTTGCAGTCATACCAGCGCAATCTGTTTATTACAATTACTTTTCAAATAGTTCAGATATTTACTCCAGTCCTCTAAGAATCTCTGGTCCCGCAGGTTTCGAATCCTTCCTGTTAATTTATCTAATTCTGCATAGTTTATCTAATTCTGCATAATTTCATTTAATTCTAATGAATTAATTTATCTAATTCTGCATAATTTCATTTGCCACTCTCCTTTCGTCGGTAATTCTTCTTGCTTCCCTTTTTGTGCCAATAATATTCTTGCTGCTGTTGTTCCATATAAAAACAATTTACAACCCTGTTTGTTAATATCATCCCCTACTATGCCAAGTAAAAATGCTTCTGGTTTTTTAATAAATGTATATTTCAACATCTTTTTCATCTCATTATATATCATCTCCTAGAAGTTTTTCACTTTCTTACATGCCCGCCACATGTGATAAAAAATTCCTTCTTTTTCTTTACATTTCCAACATTTATTACAGCTGTTCACCTTCTGGCCTTGAAGCTGCCTTGTATCACAGAATCATAGGCTTGGAAGGGACCCCAAAGATCCTCTAGTCTAACCCTCTGCAATGCAGGAATATCAACTCAAACATCCATGGCAAATGGCCATCCAAGCTCCGTTCCACTGCTGAACACTTCTCACTGTTAGAAAGCTTCTCCTGATGTACCAGAGCAGACTATTTTTCTATCTGACCAGGTGTTGTAGACTCTGTGGCCAAATCTGCCCCATGACTTGTACCAAGGTATGTTTTACTCAAGAGTAAGGTAAAGGGACCCCTGGCCATTAGGTCCAGTCGTGACCAACTCTGGGGTTGCGGCGCTCATCTCGCTTTACTGGCCGAGGGAGCCGGCGTACAGCTTCCGGGTATGTGGCCAGCAGGACTAAGCCGCTTCTGGCGAACCAGAGCAGCGCACGGAAACGCCATTTATCTTCCCGCCGGAGCGGTACCTATTTATCTACTTGCACTTTGACGTGCTTTCGAACTGCTAGGTTGGCAGGAGCAGGGACCGAGCAACGGGAGCTCACCCCGTCACGGGGATTCGAACCGCCGACCTTCTGATCAGCAAGTCCTAGGCTCTGTGGTTTAACCCACAGCGCCACCCGACGTCCCTGCTCAAGAGTAGACCCCTTGAAATTTAGAGACACAAGCTAGTCATCTCCCCGAACGCCAATGGAGTAAATTTTCAAAACATTGCTTTGTTGCTGAATTGCCTCTGGAATTTGGCCATTTGCCCTGAATTTTTTTCCTAATGGTCCTAGCTTGGCCAGGTCGTTTTGCCTAGAAATTCCTCTGCAGTTGAGATATTCCCTCCATATCCCAAATAATAAAAATCCTACCATTTATGAATTTCTAGAGTTTAGGGCAGTCTCCCCCATACCCCCATCCCCCAAAAAGCCAAGATATATGTGTGAATATAATTTCTCGCCATTACCTGGGCATCTCTGCTGGTGTTGTAGAAATAGAGACTCAGTTCTCGGAGACCTGCCCAATATTTTTTGTACTCCTGGGGGAGGGGGAAGAGAAAAATCAGAGCAGTTGTAAAGAAACTTTCTTGTTGCAACAGTTTTAATAAAATCAGGCTTACTAGCTGCTTTGCTTCTCAATATTCTCTGGTTGGCCTCTGTTATTTTCTCCTACCGATAGAGAACATACAAAAGGACTCTATATGGGCTCTTGGGTACCCCATAAGGGAAAAGGAGCAGGTTTTTTTTTACATATATCACAAACAAACAAGCAAGCAATTTCCTCCTCTGCTGTGGTTTTGAAGAAAATTGGCATTTCTTTCTGCAGGGAGATCCCCCGACACAGCCTTTCTCGACCTGCGGGTCCCCAGATGTTGTTGAACTACAACTCCCATCACCCCTAGCTAGCAAGGCCAGAGCTCAGGGATGATGGGAGTTGTAATCCAACAACATCTGGGGACCCGCAGGTTGAGAAACGCTGCGACTCCTTTGATACTAAGATTTCTCATCAGGACAGCAGCAGGGGAAGAAAGAGTTAATTACATGCACGCACACGCACACACACAGCATGAGGGATAGCTCAGTTGGCAGAGCCTCCTAAACTCAGGGCCATGGGTTCGATTCCCACATTGGGCGAAAGATTCCTGAGCTACAAGGGTCCCTTCCAGCTCTATGCGGGACTTGACATCTTTCCGTAGGGCCTGCAAGACAGAGCTGTTCCGCCTGGCCTTTGGTTTGGACTCAGTCTGACCCTTCTGTTTCCCTCCCCTTATGGTCTTGATTTATCGGCTGCTTTTAAAAAGAGGCTGCATTTTAAATTGCATTTTAACCTGTATTTTAAACTGGGTTTTCTTTCTTTTTTCCCTATCATGTTTTGGTTTTTTTTAGGGACGCGGGTGGCGCTGTGTGGGTTAAACCACAGAGCCTAGGGCTTGCCGATCAGAAGATCAGCGGTTTGAATCCCCGTGACGATGGGGTGAGCTCCCGTTGCTCGGTCCCTGCTCCTGCCCACCTAGAAGTTCGAAAGCACATCAAAGGTGCAAGTAGATAAATAGGTACCGCTTCAGCGGGAAGGTAAACGGCGTTTCAGTGCGCTGCTCTGGTTCGCCAGAAGCGGCTTAGTCCTGCTGTCCACATGACCCGGAAGCTGTACGCCAGCTCCCTCGGCCAGTAAAGCGAGATGAGCGCCGCAACTCCAGAGTCGGCCACGACTGGACCTAATGGTCAGGGGTCCCTTTACCTTTATCATGTTTTTTACTGTGATTTTATTGGTGTTAGCCACCCTGAACCCAGCTCTGGCTGGGGAGGGCAGGGTATAAATAATAATAATAATAATAATAATAATAATAATAATAATAATAAGTCTATGATTCCATTACAGGCCGGCTGCAGCCCCATCAGAATCAAACAACTAATGCTACTAGACCATCTTGTCCTCCCCAAATTCCTCCCGCCTCTTTTCAGAGCCATCTACCAAGCCTTCCGTCACACCTTGTGGCAGAGAGTTCCCCAGGCCTGTTTCTGTTGCCTCTACTGCCAACCTGCTCTATTGGCTGTCTCTCTCCCCAATTTCTGGCATCAGGAGAAGAGTACTGAGCAGGGGGACGGGGGACAAAGGTCCTTCTATTTCTTTCACCCCACACAGAACACAACCTCAATCCCTCCCTTCCTTAAACTTTTTCAAGAAAGAAAGGAAAATAGCAAAAGCTGTCGCAGCGAAAGGTTCTCTGGAGCCCCAATCGTTTGAGCTTCCTTTTCCCACAACCTTTCCCCAGATCGTTTCGGAGACACAGCAGCAAAAACGGTAAGTTCCCCCAAATTGAGGCAAACCAAACACACGCAATTGTCTGAACTTAATAAGTCTTGGGTTGCTTATCTATCTCACTCAATGTATCTTGAAATGACAGTAACTACAGACCCCCCAAAACTTGGGATCTGGGAATTGTTGGGTTTGGAGGTGTCAACTGCAAACCCCATGTCTATTGCATCAATCCCTCATTTGTTGGGGCAGTGTTTTCGCTGCAAAACAACTGCAAAACTTTGGAGGGGATCCGAAATTTTGGGATTTGGGGTTCATCATCCTGCCTGCCCCCCCCCCAACAAAATCCTGCTGTGTGGGGATCCTGGGCCAAAGCCCCGTCACCTTCCTTCCTTGCTAACAGCGACAAAACTTGCAGTTCAGCTTTCTGATCCTTCTCCTAAGAGACCCTGAAGTCTCTCCTACCTTTTCCCAGGCGTTCCTCTTCTCCAGGAACCCCGAATAATAATGGGGCGGCACGGTGGCCTTCGGTTTGGTGGCCCAGCTGTGTGGCGCTGCCATCGCGGTCCCTGCGCGCCCCTGAAAAGTCCCTCCACCGTCCAGCCTCGCAGAGTCTTTTGCCCAGAGTTCAGAGTCCGACACCAGGAAGCAAAATGCAATAAATTAAACGAGACTCTTTACTTCTTTCTCTTTCCCCCCCCTCCCTTTTCCCCTGAAATTTCCCCTAGGCCCTTCCCTCCGCAGGTGCGATTGGACAGCTAGATTGGCAGGTGAATCGATTCTGAAAGGAGAAACTGCAAATTTGGCTCGGCTACACACTGGAATTTTTCAGCGCTCTCACTCCCCACACTTAGCTAGCATACAGTCTTCTTCTTCTTCTTCGGAAATAAATTCCTACTTGATTTTCCCAAATATAAACATACAACAAAACCCAATTCCGAATCCAGTTACCGAGATTACTCTGAATTCTCCCCATCCCTTCCAGGGGTCCTATTTTCAACTGCATATCGATACTTCTCCAATATTTTTAAAATAACAATTATTATAATAATATTACTTATACCCCGCCCATCTGGCTGGGCTTCTCCAGCCACTCTGGGTGGCTTCCAACAAAATATTAAAATGCAGTAATGCATCAAACATTAAAAGCTTCCCTGAACAGGGCTGCCTTCCAATGTCTTCTAAAAGTCTGGTAGTTGTTGTTCTCTTTGACATCTGGTGGGGGGGAGTTCCACAGGGCGGGTGCCACTACCGAGAAGGCCCTCTGCCTGGTTCCCTGTAACTTGGCTTCTCGCAGCGAGGGAGTTCCACAGGGCAGGTGCCACTACCGAGAGTAGCATTCAAAACCCAAACCAATGGATTCAAAACCAATGGATTTATCTTTCTAGGTTATCTATACATTATGTTACATGACAAGTTTGTTTAAAATCCTGCCAATCTTCCAACCTGCTTACAATGATCTTGTTGTGTATATATTATAAACTTTCCCCGTTCTTTTTTAAAGTTCTTGTCTTCGTTCCCGAGCTTCCTGGTTAATTTTGCCATTTTGGCATAGTCTGTCAGCTTGGTTTGCCATTCTTCTTTAATAATAATAAGATTTTATTTGTATTCCTCCCTCCCCGGCCGAGACTGGGCTCAGAGCGGCTAACAACATAAAAACAACACAATAAGCATGAAAACAGACATCAATTCATTAAAATGCATCTTAAAATTAATTCAGACAAGTTAAAATCCGGGCAGATGGCAATTATCAAGGTGAAATTGAGAGTGGTTAATAATTGCCAGGCTCAGCTGTTTCCATACAAGGACCTGTGAGCGGGTTGGGGGCCTAATTCGGGCTTGTTTTATACAAAGGAAAGGAAGTCAAACTGCATCCTGCCCAAAGGCCCGGCGGAACAGCTCAGTCTTGCAGGCCCTGCGGAAAGATGTCCAATCCCGCAGGGCCCTGGTCTCTTGTGGGAGAGCATTCCACCAGGCCGGGGCCATGGCCGAAAAGGCCCTGGCTCTAGTCGAGGCCAGTCTAATTTCCCTGGGGTCCGGGATCTTCAAGCAGGGGATAGTCTCTTCCTTCAATTCTGGGCTGGCGGGTGGCGCTGTGGGTTAAACCACAGAGCCGAGGACTTGCTGATCAGAAGGTTGCCAGTTCGAATCCCCGCGATGGGGTGAGCTCGGTCCCTGCTCCTGCCAACCTAGCAGTTTGAAAGCACATCAGAGTGCAAGTAGATAAATAGGTACCACTCCGGCGGGAAGGTAAACGGCATTTCCGTGCGCTGCTCTGGTTCTCCAGGAGCGGCTTAGTCCTGCTGGCCACATGACCCGGAAGCTGTACGCCGGCTCCCTCGGCCAATAAAGCGAGATGAGCGCCGCAACCGCAGAGTCGGCCACGACTGGACCTAATGGTCAGGGGTCCCTTTACCTTTAATGTCCGTTAGGCTGTTCTTGCGTACATGAACTAGCATACAGTCTTCAAGCATGCAAGCGTATGAAAAGGAGAGGATCACAGAATCATGGTTAGGGAAGGCCGAAAGCCTCTGCTTAAAAACCTCCAAGGAAGGAAAGCCCACCGCCTCCTGACCGTTCCACTGCCAAACGGCTCTTACAAATCTCCTTCCTTATCACTTGAACCCATTGGTTCGAGTTCGAATCCTACCCTCCGGAGGAGGAGAAAACAAGGTCGCTCCCTCTTCTGTAGGAAAACCCTTGAGACTTTTCAAGATGGTTCTCATATCTCCTCTCAACCTCTTCTTTTCCAGGCTAAACATACCCAGATCCTTCAACCGTTCCTGCAGCGAAGGAGGCTCTCAGAGTGCGTGCAGAGTGCTTTCACGGCCCAAGTCCATCTGAGGACGTGAGGACGGTTTGGCCTCCGGGCAGCGCCTCTCATTTTGAAAATGGAAATGGGACTAGAAGGGGGTTAGCCGAGCAACCAGAAGGCATCTGAGCATGTACAGAGTGTATTTCCCGTGCACACATTTTCAGGACGGGCTCAGGAAACGTCAGGATGGGTCTCAGATCCTGAGTGGGAAAGGACACCTCTGCCTGTTTCGAACCCATTTTTCTCAACAATATTGGTGGCGGTGCCTCTGTTTTTGCCCCTTGGCAGAATCCGCACTCCTGCCGCACCATCCGAACTTTGAAACCAGCCTCCTTTGTCCTTGAAAGAGGAATTGGACCTGGCAGGTAATCAGACTTGACTCTGCGCCAGGAGAAAAAAACAAAACTCCACTTGCCGATGTTTGCGCGTCAAATCTCTGCCAAAGGCAGAGGCACGCACCAACGCTGGCATTTCCTGAGCAGTTGGCAACCCCACAGCCCTCCAAACAACTTGTCTCGGCATGTTAGATTCTTACAAAAGACCTTTTTTGTTTTTTCCTTGCAGGTTCCTCCTTCCTGCATGAGGCGACTCGGCCTTTATACCTGAACAAATATTTATTTGAAGATGATGGGTAGAGTCTGGATGAGGCCCAGGGTGTTGTGGTTAGAAGGGGAAGGAATTCCCCCCCCCACACACACACACACACTTCATAATTGGCTCTGACGTCGCCTTTCAGAGTATCAAAAGCCTTTTGCAATGACCTCATCATTTAGACCCGGGGTCAGCAAACTTTTTCAGCAGAGGGCTGATCCACTGTCTCTCAGACCTTGGGGGGGGCGGACTATATTTTGGATAAAAAAATGAATGAATTCCTTGATGCTTTTGGATTCTGGTGCTGGAGGAGACTCTTGAGAGTTCCATGGATTGCGAGAATATCAAACCACTCCATTCTGAAGGAAATCAGCCCTGAGTGCTCACTGGAAGGACAGATCCTGAAGCTGAGGCTCCAAGACCAGAGAAGGTGCTTTCAAACTGCTAGGTTGGCAGGAGCAGGGACCGAGCAACGGGAGCTCACCCCATCATGGGGATTCGAAATGCCGACCTTCTGATCGGCAAGCCCTAGGCTCTGTGGGTTAACCCACAGCGCCACCCACGTCCCTATCTAGCATATATTCAACACACAAAACAGCGACAAATTGTTGTGGACAAAGGACAGCTGGACATATAAAGGGCCCCATTACCTTCAGGAGCTTAGGGCCTCATTGAACGTGAATCAGGCCCTGCGCCCACCCACCAAGAATCTTGTGGGCTGTCATTTATCAGGGATGCTGGGAGCAAACTACAGTTTCCGGCGATTCTTTGGACAAAGCTGTGCACTTTGAATGTATGGCCTGCGACCCAGCAGAATGAGGAACTTGGCACAAGAGTTTACTGACTCCGGTTATAAAGTATAAGGGCATTAAACTCACAAGCTCCTGCACAAATCTGGCACAGTTAGTAGGTGGAATTTGGCGCCTAGCCAAAGAGGCTTAAGGTGGATTTCCTCTAGAGTCGGAGAGCGGTTAGCTGCACTTCCCGCTAGCTGCATTTCCAGTAGACTTGCTGCATAGGAATGCAGAAGTAAGGCCACCGGACCACTGAGAGAGCAGGAAGGATTTGTGGCCTCTTGGGGAAAGCCATTACACAAATCTTCTTGATTTCATTATATATCGTGCCCCCTAAAGCCTTTTGCCTGAATATTCAGGAGAGACTAAAGAAAACACTAGTGATGTATGGAAGTGAGAGCTGGACCATAAAGAAGGCTGATCGCCCAAGAATGGATGCTTTTGAATTCTGGTGCTGGAGGAGACTCTGGAGAGTCCCATGGACTGCAAGAAGATCAAACCTCTCCATTCTGAAGGAAATCAGCCCTGAGTGCTCACTGGAAGGACAGATCGTGAAGCTGAGGCTCCAATACTTTGGCCACCTCATGAGAAGAGAAGACTCCCTGGAAAAGACCCTGATGTTGGGAAAGATGGAGGGCGCAAGGAGAAGGGGGCGACAGAGGACGAGATGGTGGGACAGTGTTCTCGAAGCTACCAGCATGAGTTTGACCAAACTGCGGGAGGAAGTGGAAGACAGGAGTGCCTGGCGTGCTCTGGTCCAGGGGGTCACAAAGAGGCGGACACGACTAAACAACAACAAATCACGGTGTGTTGCTCATTATGTCTTGGAAAATGTATGGATTAACTGTATAAATAGTGAAACTCAATAATAAAGAATGTACAGTGGTACCTCGGGTTAAGTACTTAATTCATTCCGGAGGTCCGTTCTTAACCTGAAACTGTTCTTAACCTGAAGCACCACTTCACCTAATGGGGCCTCCTGCTGCCACAAGAGCACGATTTCTGTTCTCACCCTGAAGCAAAGTTCTTAACCCGAGGTACTATTTCTGGGTTAGCAGAGTCTGTAACCTGATGCGTCTGTAACCTGAAGCGTATGTAACCCAAGGTACCACTGTATCACCGAAAAAACGTTGATTTTCTTGTGTCAAAATGAGAGTACCCCTAAACATTTTTAAAGAAAAGAAGCACTGATGATGATTTCCAACTTTACAATGCTGTGATGCTATAATTCCAGTGATGCCAGATTTTTTTGGGGGGGGGTTGCTTGGGGCCAGGAATCCTTCCCCTGTGGCACTTCGCAGAAAGATGCTAGGTTCCTCTGTCAGAGTCACTGCAGCAGGTTGGGCTACATGACCCCTTGGGACCCCCCTTCCAGCTTCACAATTCTTGTTGTTGTTGTTTAGTCATTTAGTCGTGTCCGCCTCTTCGTGACCCCCTGGACCAGAGCACGCCAGGCCCTCCTGTCTTCCACTGCCTCCCGCAGTTTGGTCAGGCTCATGCTGGTAGCTTCGAGAACACTGTCCCACCATCTCGTCCTCCGTCGTCCCCTTCTCCTTGTGCCCTCCATCTTTCCCAACATCAGGGTCTCTTCCAGGGAGTCTTCTCTTCTCATGAGGTGGCCAAAGTATTGGAGCCTCAGCTTCAGGATCTGTCCTTCCAGTGAGCACTCAGGGCTGATTTCCTTCAGAATGGAGAGGTTTGATCTTCTTGCAGTCCATGGGACTCTCAAGAGTCTCCTCCAGCACCAGAATTCAAAAGCATCCATTCCTCGGCCATCAGCCTTCTTTATGGTCCAGCTCTCACTTCCATACATCACTACTGGGAAAACCATAGCTTGAACTATACGGACCTTTGCTGGCAAGGCGATGTCTCTGCTTTTTAAGATGCTGTCTAGGTTTGTCATTGCTTTTCTCCCAAGGAGTAGGCGTCTTTTAATTTCGTGACTGCTGTCACCATCTGCAGTGATCATGGAGCCCAAGAAAGTAAAATCTCTCACTGCCTCCATTTCTTCCCCGTCTATTTGCCAGGAGGTGATGGGACCAGTGGCCATGATCTTCGTTTTTTTGATGTTGAGCTTCAGACCATATTTTGCGCTCTCCTCTTTCACCCTCATTAAAAGGTTCTTTAATTCCTCCTCACTTTCTGCCATCAAGGTTGTGTCATCTGCATATCTGAGGCTGTTGATATTTCTTCCGGCAATCTAGCCTTCTATAATTCCTGCGCTGCAGAGGCTACATGACCCTGGGGCGTCCTTTGCAATTCTAGGATTCTAGAAGACCTTCCCGGGCAGGTCCTGCTCCTGCGCTTCCTCTCCTTTGTCTTCCCTTTCTCATTCCCTTCTTCTTCTGCTCTCCCTCCCTTCCTCCTTCCCCCTCTCTCCTTTGTCTTCCTTTCTCTCCCGTTCTCCTTTCCTCCCGGGGAGAGGCGGGGACAGCCGGGAGCCTCCGCGCTGTGACGCGCAGAGGAAGCGGCGAGGGGGAAGCGGAGCCATGGCTGCAGCAGGTACCCGGGAGGGAGGCGGGGATCGGGGCCGTAGGCAGCAGGGAGGGAGGGAGGCGCGCTCCCGGCCCGGCTAGGATCCAGACCCTCTTTCTCCCCGCAACCAGCCCAGCTCAAAGGATGGGCTCTCGGCCCCAGAACCTGTTTTTGCAGCTGTGCGCCCGGGGCGCGCGTCTCCCAGGCGGACTCCAGCCGGGATGGAGAGCGCTGGTCCTCTGAGCGCACACAGATGGCTGCAAAGCCCAAGCTTAAAGGATGGAGAATGGTGCTGATGTTGGGGCTGCGCACCCGCAGCTCCTGTTCATTTATCTCCCTGCCTCGAGGGGTTGCAGGCAGGTATTAGCCCTGCTCAGAGTAGACCCATTGGAAGCAATGGGCGTGACTAACAGTGGTTCTGTTGCAGAGTCAAGATTTGTATGCATCATCTGTCGGTCTCTCTTTGTCCATCCATCCATTCTTCCATCCATCCGTACTATTATATTAATTTTTGAATTCTGAATTTATTGTCATTCACGTTTTATACTGTATTTTATGCTGTTTTTTGTTGCATCAGTTAAGTGTTTTAAAGTTGTTGTTAGCCGCCCTGAGCCCGGTTTTCTGGACCGGGAAGGGCGGGGTATAAATTAAAAATATATTTTATTTATTCATAATTTTACAAAATTTATACGCCGCATAATTGTAAAAAAAAAACCCTACAACCATCCATCCATGCTAATATGTTTTCACAACATTTAGACACCACGATTGTAAGACAAAAAACCCCCCAAACCTCAAGGCGGTTTGCAGAAAGAAACAACAGAGACAAGTAATTCAATAATATATCCAGTGAAAGGCAGAGCACACCTATCCTAAACATCTATTCGTTTATTCATGCCGGGGTTTTTTATATTAATAGTTTATTAAGAAAGTTTAATTTATAGGAAAGGGGTGAGGAAAAAAGAAAGAAAATAAACCAATACAGTGGTACCTCGGGTTAAGTACTTAATTCGTTCCGGAGGTCCGTTCTTAACCTGAAACTGTTCTTAACCTGAAGCACCACTTTAGCTCATGGGGCCTCCTGCTGCTGCCGTGCCGCCGGAGCACGATTTCTGTTCTCATCCTGAAGCAAAGTTCTTAAACCGAGGTACTATTTCTGGGTTAGCGGAGTCTGTAACCTGAAGCGTATGTAACCTGAAGTGTCTGTAACCTGAGGTACCACTGTAGTCCCTTCTGTTGGGTCTATGCAGGCTGTAAGATCCAGAACCTCTTTCCTTCCCCTTCTCTCATTCGCTCTCTCCAAACTTGTAGGACTCCCTCGGTTTTGGCTGATATTCTCACTCTGGGCGCAGGAGGAAGAAGATTTTCCATGAGGAGGGAGGCCGGTTGCCAGATTAAACAAAGCTTCAAATACAGTGGTACCTTGGTTCTCAAACTTAATCTGTTCCGGAAGTCCGTTCCAAAACCAAAGCGCTCCAAAACCAAGGCGTGCTTTCCCATAGAACGTAATGCAGAACGGATTAATCCATTCCAGACTTTTAAAAACAACCCCCAAAGCAGCAATTTAGCATGAATTTTACTATCTAAAGATACTGTTGATCCATAAAATGAAAGCAATAATCAATGTACTGCACTATAAAATAAATAAGACAGTATTGTAGGTGATAAAAATTTAAATTTTTTTTTTCTTACGTTCACTGATGATAGTCTTTGTTTAGAGGGGGGGCTTTTATCCATTTCTGCAGTCACACAATCCATCAGCAGCTGAACTGGGTTCCACACAGTCACAAAAACAAACAGAAAAAGCCTCGAAAACAAAAACACAAAATAAATAACAAAAACAAAAGCGTCAAACTTAATCTGTTCTGGAAGTCCGTTTGACTTCCAAAATGTTCAATCCAAGGTGCAGCTTCTGATTGGTGCAGGCGCCCCGGAAACAATAGCCGACAGCCGCATCAGAACAGTTACTCCTGGGTCTTTTGTTTTTGAGAACCAAGACATTTGGGAACCAAGGTACCACTGTACCACTCTAATTAGGGGAGTGGGGAGATCAAAGGGCCTATGCAGCCCTCCAGCTGCAACCCCAGACTCATCTAATCTTAGCCAAATCAAACATACGCCCCTTCTCAATACAAGGGGTCAGGAGACGATCACAAGTGATAACACCAAAGTCGTGTCCACCAAGAACTGTCCCCCCGATCTTCACCTTCATAAGGACTAGGACCTTCCTTTTTAACTTTTACAGAAGGCACCGAATCCTAGATGCTGGATTTTGCATCATATTTCCCAGCTCTCTGATTCACAAATCTCTCCATACGGAAAGCAACTTCTAAACAATTGGGAGCTACAAGGAGCTGTTTTCTCCTGAGGAAGCCCATCTGACTAGCTCAGTATAGCTTGCAATGGCAGGTAGCGGATCATCTTATTGCAGAGTTGGAAGGGACCTCCAGAGTCCCTTAAATGCAGGAATCTCAGCTAAAGCATCCATGACAGATGGCCAGCCAACCTTGGTCTGGACCAGGCATAGGCAAACTCGGCCCTCCAGATGTTTTGAGACTACAATTCCCATCATCCCTGACCACTGGTCCTGTTAGCCAGGGATGACGGGAGTTGTAGTCCCAGAACATCTGGAGGGCCGAGTTTGTCTATCCCTAGACTTTTGCTGATGCAGCCTAGAATAAAAAGGTAAAGGGACCCCTGACCATTAGGTCCAGTCGTGACCGACTCTGGGGTTGCGGCACTCATCTCGCTTTACTGGCCGAGGGAGTCGGCGTGCAGCTTCCAGGTCATGTGGCCAGCATGACTAAGCCGCTTCTGGCGAACCAGAGCAGTGCACGGAAACGCCGTTTACCTTCCCGCCGGAGTGGTACCTATTTATCTACTTGCACTTTGACGTGCTTTCGAACTGCTAGGTTGGCAGGAGCAGGGACCAAGCAACAGGAGCTCACCCCATCACGGGGATTCGAACCGCCGACCTTCTGATCGGCAAGTCCTAGGCTCTGTGGTTTAACCCACAGCACCACCTGCGTCCCGCAGCCTAGAATAGCCTTAGCCTTTTTTTGCTGCTGCATCACACTGTGGACTCACGTTAAACGTGTGGTCCACCAAGACCCCTTAGATCCTATTCACACATGCTTCTAGTAACTCGGATGTCCCCCATCCTATATATGTGCATCTGGTTCTTCCTGCCTAAGTGAAGAACCAGACATTTGTCCCTATTAGAATTCCTTTTGCTAGCTTGGGCCCAGTTCTCTGCAATCTGTTGAGGTCATTTCAAATTCTGATTCTGTCTTCAGCGGGATCAGCTACCCTTCCCAGTTTGGTGTCTACTAGATCTTGAGGGTGGGTGGGGGAATATTCCCAACCCTGCCTGGATTTGCCAGGGATCGAACCTAAATTTCCCAGCCTGATCCCTCCCGGCTCCCTGATCATTCCTTCTGCACTTACTCTTCCCAAACCATAGCTGTCAACCGTCCCTCATTTGGCGGGACAGTCCCTTATCCCAGCGCTGTGTCCTGCTGCTGTCCCTTATTGATGATGTCCCTTAAATTTCCCGGGTTTCAAAGGAAGCAGCTCCTCTCCCTCCCTCCCTGCCGGCCAGGGAGGAGGGAGGCTCCAACTGTGTTGCTTGGCTGCATTGCTCACCCAATAAGGAGTCTGAGAACGACTGGGGGGGTGGAGCTTGCATGCCTTGTGCCAATCAAATCGGCCTCGTTGACTGGGGACTCGCCTTTGCTCAGCACTTCCCAGCGGAGAGATGATTGTGGTTTTCCTTGCTGCATCCCCTTTGCCGGGTTGCTGCACTGTGGGAACCACCGCTTGAGGCTTTGTTTGGCTGCTGGCTGGGCTTTCTGCCTTTGGCTCGGAGGGGCTCAGAAGTTGAACCATACCTGTGCCTGGAAAATCCCTTATTTTGGCTGCCGGTCCCTTATTTTCGAGGCTGCTGGTCCCTTGTTTTCAAATCTGTAAGTTGACAGCTATGTCCCAAACCCTAGATGCAGAATCCCTCGGAGGAGACGATTGCCTGGAAGAGGACGAGGAGGAGCTGGAGGCGAGCTTGGAAGACCAGGAGAACGTGGGAAAATTTCTGGTTCCTGGCAGGCGTAGCTGCTGCATTCTGACCCGTCGCGGAATCACTCTGCGCGTTCTTCTCAAGGATGGGCTGATTGAGCCCGGAGAGGGCGTCCTCTCCATTTACTACCTGGTAATCATAATAATGACACAGGTGGCGCTGTGGGTTAAACCACAGAGCCTAGGACTTGCCAATCAGAAGGTCGGCAGTTTGAATCCCCGCAACGGGGTGAGCTCCCGTTGCTCGGTCCCTGCTCCTGCCAACCTAGCAGTTCGAAAGCACGTCAAAGTGCAAGTAGATAAATAGGTACCGCTCCGGCGGGAAGGTGAACGGCGTTTCCGTGCGCTGCTCTGGTTCGCCAGAAGCGGCTTAGTCATGCTGGCCACATACCCGGAAGCTGTACGCCAGCTCCCTCAGCCAATAAAGTGAGATGAGTGCCGCAACCCCAGAGTCGGTCACGACTGGACCTAACGGTCAGGGGTCCCTTTACCTTTAATAATAATAATAATAATAATAATAATAATAATAATTTATTATTTGTACCCTGCCCATCTGGCTGGGTTTCCCCAGCCACTCTGGGCGGCTTCCAACAAAGACCAAAAATACACTCAAATGTCACACATTAAAAACTTCCCTGAACAGGGCTGCCTTCAGATGTCTTCTGAATGTCAGGTAGTTGTTTATCTCTTTGACATCTGGTGGGAGGGCGTTCCACAGGGCAGGTGCCACCACTGAGAAGGCCCTCTGCTTCTCGCAATGAGGGCACCACTAGAAGGCCCTCGGCGCTGGAACTCAGCATCTGGGCAGAACGGTAAGATGCTCTCGTCGTTCCGTCGCTTCTCCTTGGAGAGAGCCAGTGTGGGAGAGAGCCAGTGTGGTGTAGTGGTTAAGAGCGATAGACTCGTAATCTGGGAGCCGGGTTCGAGTCTCCGCTCCTCCACATGCAGCTGCTGGGTGACCTTGGGCTAGTCACACTTCTTTGAAGTCTCTCAGCCCCACTCACCTCACAGAGTGTTTGTTGTGGGGGAGGAAGGGAAAGGAGAATCTTAGCCGCTTTGAGACCCCTTCGGGTAGTGATAAAGCGGGATATCAAATCCAAACTCTTCTTCTTCTTCTTCCTTCCAAGAAGCGGACAAGGGGAGTGCTGGCCCTCAATGGTGTGGGATGTGATACGTTAAGTAGCAGTCAGGCACAACATTCCTTGTTTTCCTAGAGTGGCCATGCAGGGGGAATGTTCCTGTTTCCTCCTGGCTGGGACATACTTCCTTTTGCATATGACTAGAGGTGGGCATATGGGACGCGGGTGGCGCTGTGGGTTAAACCACAGAGCCTAGGACTTGCCGATCAGAAGGTCGGCAGTTCAAATCCCCGCGACAGGGAGAGCTCCCATTGCTCAGTCCCTGCTCCTGCTAACCTAGCAGTTTGATAGCACGTCAAAGTGCAAGTAGATAAATAGGTACCGCTCCAGCGGGAAGGTAAACGGCATTTCCGTGCAGTGCTCTGGTTCGCCAGAAGCGGCTTGGTCATGCTGGCCACATGACCTGGAAGCTGTACGCCGACTCCCTCGGCCAGTAAAGCGAGATGAGCGCCGCAACCCCAGAGTCTGTCACGACTGGACTTAAATGGTCAGGGGTCCGTTTACCTTTACCTAGAGGTGGGCATGACCTTACCTGTAACAAAAGGGACAGGGCACGCAGTTCTCTCTCTTTTTGACTTTCTCCATCTGTGGATCAGCTTTGAGCTAGAGATTAGCTTCCAGCCAACAGAGGACACTGGGACTATTTCCATATGGGATAGATCCACGTATATACTTTGTAACTAAGTCTGCCTTCAGAGATCCATCTGTGAACTGAATGTGAGTAAACTACTTATACACATAGCTGTCAATGTTTCCCCTTTCTTGCGAGGAATCCTATTCGGAATAAGGGAATTTCCCTTTAAAAAAGGGAAATGTTGACAGCTATGCTTATATATACTTTACACAAGATTGTGGTGTGTTTATTATTTTAAGAGGGGTATAAGGGAACTTACCAGGAAGCTGATAGTGAGAGGCTTACACAAGCCTGCAACCTGCTATCCGCTGTGTGTTTAAAAGGGGAATGTGAAACTCTGGTAAGTAAAGGAACTTGCTAACGCAAGTTAGGAAGGATATTAATAAACAATATATCCTCTCCTGCCTCCCTGAACATTCCCACAAATGGCACTCACTTGAGAGTAGCTGGAACTGAGCTCCGGCTGGGGGGAAAAGCACTGGTTACGACATAAATGAACTTAGAAAAAGACTGGAATCATCTATTTCTCTCCTGCAAACCCACCCATGCCTTTGTTTTGTCTCTTCTCTTCTCTCTCTCTCTCTCTCTCTCTCTCTCTCTCTCTCTCTCTCTCTTCATTTTTATTGGTTTTTTTAACATATCCTTTCCAACAATCGTTTAACATAACTTCTTATCTTGTACAATATTTTAGACTTCCGTCAACCACTTCTGAAGATTTTCCGCTCTTTATCATTTGTTCTGCATTTCTTAATTTCTCTATTACTTTTGATTATCCTTAACCAATAGTTCTCATCATAGTCTTTCTTGCAATATTTCAAATAGTCCTCCTTACAGAACTTCTTGCAGTCCTATTAAAATTGCTTTTCAAATAGTTCAAATATATACTCCAGTCTTCTAAGAATCTCTGATCCCGCAGATTTCGAATCCTTCCTGTTGTCTAATTCTGCATAGTCCATTAATTTCATTTGCCATTCTTCTTTTGTCGGTAATTCTTCTTGCTTCCATTTTTGTGCCAATAATATTCTTACTGCCGTCATTGCATATAAAAACAACTTACAGTCCTGTCTATTAATATCATCTCCTACAATTCTAATTAAAAATGCTTCTGGTTTTTTAATACAGTGGTACCTCGGGTTAAGTACTTAATTCGTTCCGGAGGTCCGTACTTAACCTGAAACTGTTCTTAACCTGAAGCACCACTTTAGCTAATGGGGCCTCCTACTGCTGCCGTGCCGCCAGAGCACGACTTCTGTTCTCATCCTGAAGCAAAGTTCTTAACCTATAGCACGATTTCTGGGTTAGTGGAGTTTGTAACCTGAAGCGTATGTAACCCGAGGTACCACTGTAAATGTATATTTCAACATCTTTTTCGTCTCTTTATATATCATTTCCTAGAAGTTTTCCACTTTTTTACATTCCCATTGTCTCTCCTGTCTCACCTGTCCCAGGGAAAGAAGTTCTTGGGCGACCTCTTGACGGATGGCAAGATCGTTTGGCAGGAGACGGGTCAAGTGTTCAACTCGCCTAGCGCCTGGGCGACCTACTGCAAAAAGCTTGTCAACCCAGCCAAGAAGTCTGGTTGTGGCTGGGCGTCGGTCAAGTATAAGGGCCAGAAATTAGACCAGTATAAAGCTGTTTGGCTGAAGAAGTACCAGCCCAACACGCCCCCTGCCGAAGAGGTGAATGAATACCCTCATTTCTCTTTCACTTGTTAGAGCGCTGCATTTACGTACAAGCTAAGTAAGCAACAAGGGATGCGGGTGGCGCTGTGGGTTAAACCACAGAGCCTAGGACTTGCCGATCAAAAGGTCGGCGGTTTGAATCCCCGCAACGGGGTGAGCTCCCGTTGCTCGGTCCCTGCTCCTGCCAACCTAGCAGTTCAAAAGCATGTCAAAGTACAAGTAGATAAATAGGTACCACTCTGGCAGGAAGGTAAATGGTGTTTCCGTGCGCTGCTCTGGTTTGCCAGAAGCGGCTCAGTCATGCTGGCCGCATGACCCGGAAGCTGTACGCCGGCTCCCTCGGCCAATAAAGTGAGATGAGTGCCGCAACCCCAGAGTCATTCACGACTGGACCTAATGGTCAGGGGTCCCTTTACCTTTACTTAAGTAAGCAACCGTTTAGATTTATCTGATTATGGTAAATGCAAAAAAGCTGCTTTTAATGGGTTAAAAAAAATAAAGGAAACAGACTCTAAATTTTTATATATACTTAATGGTGACACAATTATCTTTTGTTCGTGCTTCTGTGCAAGACTAACTAATGCAGTTTTCATTTACGCTAAGAAATCAAGGGCTATCTGCTTTCTGCCCTGAGATCTTTGAATGAAGGGAAGCATACAAATTTAATAATTTAATGTGAGCCCCCGCCATTGCTGGGGTGAGAGGTTGGGAAAAGATATTCTTACTCTCTCATAGCAGAGTTAAGCACAACAGCGATTGCGCAGAGCACATTAAAACTTGGTTAGATTTCACATATGCCCTCATCCACTTTCAAAACAAATGTTCCCCACAAAAATACTTAGGCTAGAATAAATCACAGTAAGTGGTTTATTTATTTTTGCTCACAGAGTTTCCAGAATTTAGAATGGATAAATCTGTCAGCTGGCAGTAAGACAAAAATGAAGAAATGACTTTAAAAGAAAATAACTTTTCAGTGGTACCTCGGGTTAAGTACTTAATTTGTTCCGGAGGTCCGTTCTTAACCTGAAACTGTTCTTAACCTGAAGCACCACTTTCGCTAATGGGGCCTCCCGCTGCTGCCGTGTCACCGGAGCACAATTTCTGTTCTCATCCTGAAGCAAAGTTCTTTTTTTAAAAAAATAATATTTATTAGTTTTCCAACCATTTAAACACTGCAAAAAAGAACAATACAATACAATACAAAAACACTACACAACACTAACACATTAAACTAACAAAGCAGAACAAAAACAAACAAAGACAGTTTAAAACACCTCAAACATTTTCAATATCTTATCTTTCATTCACTTATTTCAACGACCTCCTCACACCTCCCTTTTTGTATTCCACTTCTGTTAATTGTTTCAGCAATTCCTTTCCATCTTCCTCTGTTTTCTATCCTATAATTATCTTAACACATTCTAACCTTATTTTTTCCTTTAATATTCTATTAATCTATTTATACTTAATTCCTTATAACATTTCTACTAAGCCATATAGCTTCATTCCAACATTCTTCTAACATTCATTAATTTTACAATATTTCTGTAAAAAGTCTTTAAACTTTTTCCAATCTTCTTCCACCGACTCTTCTCCCTGGTCTCGGGTTTTGCCAGTCATTTCCGCCAATTCCATATAGTCCATCAACTTCATCTGCCATTATCCAACACTTCAGTGTTTTGAAGAAGCAGCCATTCTCTCTGCCAGCAAAAAGCAGCTGGTTCACAACTAAGTTTAAAGTCTAGCAGGGCGAGTCCACCTCCTTCTGAAGCAAAGTTCTTAACCCAAGGTATTATTTCTGGGTTAGTGGAGTCTGTAACCTTAAGCGTATGTAGCCCGAGGTACCACTGTACTTACTTCCAAAGAGGATCATGCAATCTTTGGGTTGCAGGCTGTAAGATCTCCTTTTTTGAGAGATTCAGTTCACTTGGTTTTTCTTGCAGCTGGGAGCCATCGTCCGCATGGCTCCATCTTTGCTTCTTGCATGAAGCACAGAGAAAAAGACTGAGAAGTGAGGAAGCAGAGGGCCTGCTAAGCCACACCCACTTGTTACCTGGGTTCCGGGCTCAGGTTAACTCTTTCATGCATGCAAGTTTGAGTCGGCAACTGTATATTGCAGAAACTGCCTCTGTCTTCTGCATTCTGGCCCTCTGTCAAACAGCTCTGGATGTTCAGGAGCAACTGAGGGCATGGCTGTTCTGCCTTCCTCACATGAGAGCTCTTGTAGGCTGAGCAGCAGTGGGGAGACTGTCCTCTCTGACGGCTTTTGCATCTATTTTTCTCCCCCAGAGTTTAGTGAGCGAAGGGGAAGAGGATGAGCTTGCCGAGGAGGAGGAAGAAGAAGCCAAGGGGGTTAAGTCAGTCCTCTCAGAGTCCATGCTGGCTAAGAAATTGGAGGACAAGACCCGGAAGCAACAGACCAAAAGCCTTGCAGAATTGCACAGCTCAGGTATGTCAATGTAGTATTGATTTATATGCCACTGACTTGCCAAATTGGGCTTCTAAGCAGTTTACAAATGTAAAACCAATTATATATATATATTTTAAAAAAACCTATTACTTGTGATTTACCGTATTTTTTGCACCATAACACTCACTTTTTCCCTCCTAGAAAGTAAGGGGAAATGTCTGTGCATCTTATGGAGTGAATGCCTACGGATGGTGGACGGATCTGCTGCAGTCGCGAGCAGAGGATCCATGGTCCCCCTTCCTCCCCTCCTCCGTGGTTCGCTTTGAAACAGCAAAGCGGGAGAAGAGCTGCTGAGTAGGGAGGAGAGAGGGACAGAGAGCCTGCTTGCTTTAAAGGAGCAAAACGGGAGAGGAGAGGAGCCTTCTCCCCTTATACCCCTCTTCTTCATTATTAGCAGCATCCTTCTCCACCCACCCCATGCGTGCTTCTTCTCCCCTTAAACCCCTCTCCTGCATTATTAGCAGCATCCTTCTCCTTGTCCCTTGAGTGCTTTTCCTTCTCTCCCCACTTAAAACGTGGTTACAAAGCACGGATCCACATGGATCCTCAGGATTTTTGCATTGGGCTACTCCAAACTCACTGTCAGACCACATGTCTGTGGCCACAGCATGAACCACAAAAATCATACACCCACTGTTTCGTTTAGAATTTTTTTTCTTCTTGTTTTCCTCCTCTAAAAACTACGTGCGTGTTATGGTCGGGTGCGTGTTATAGAACGAAAAATACGGTAAATACACAATGAAACAATTTCACTCATCCTTTAAAAACACCCATAAACTTAGTACAGTGGTATCTCGGTTATATATGCTTCAGGTTACATACGCTTCAGGTTACAGACTCTGCTAACCCAGAAATATTACCTCGGGTTAAGAACTTTGCTTCAGGATGAGAACAGAAATTGTGCTTTGGCGGTGCAGCGGCAGTAGGAGGCCCCATTAGCTAAAGTGGTGCTTCAGGTTAAGAACAGTTTCAGGTTAAGAACGGACCTCCAGAACGAATTAAGTACTTAATCCGAGGTACCACTGTACAGTCATACTTTGGTTCTCAAACGGAATCCATTCTGGAAGTCCGTTCAACCTCCGAAAACGTTCAAAAACCAAGGCACGGCTTCCGATTGGCTGCAGGAGCTTCCTGCAGCCAATCAGAAGTCGCAGAAGCTGTGTCGGATGTTCGGCTTCCAAAAAAAGTTCGCAAACTGGAACACTCACTTCCGGGTTTGCAGTGTTCGGGAGCCAAAACGTTTGAGTCACAAGGTGTTCAACAACCAAGGTACGACTGTATAGTTTTATTACATATGCGACAGTCTGACTCCACAAACAGATCTTTATACAGCAGGATGCTCTGAAATAAAAGAAATTTGTCAGAACTGATGTCCTCACAGATTCTTGGAAAACAGACTTCCCCCCGCCGCAGGAAGGAATTTTGGCTAGCATTGTTGTTGAGTCTTTCAGTCGTGTCCGACTCTTCGTGCCCCCCTGGACCAGAGCACGCCAGGCCCTCCTGTCTTCCACTGCCTCCTGCAGTTGGGTCAAACTCATGCTGGTAGCTTCGAGAGCACTGTCCCACCATCTTGTCCTCTGTCGTCCCCTTCTCCTTGTGCCCTCCATCTTTCCCAACATCAGGGTCTTTTCCAGGGAGTCTTCTCTTCTCATGAGGTGGCCAAAGTCTTGGAGCCTCAGCTTCAGGATCTGTCCTTCCAGTGAGCACTCAGGGCTGATTTCCTTCAGAATGGAGAGGTTTGGATCTTCTTGCAGTCCATGGGACTCTCAAGAGTCTCCTCCAGCACCAGAATTCAAAAGCATCCATTCTTCGGCGATCAGCCTTCTTTATGGTCCAGCTCTCAATTCCAAACATCACTATTGGGAAAACCAGTAGCTAGCGCTACTCTTTGATAAAGGTCACAATGGTTTTGCTTTGTATAAAAAAATAACTAAAATACATTTTGTAAACAAAACTAAGCACAAACACCTGCAATTAAAATGCAGAATAAAATAAACCGGTGCAACAATGAAAGGTGTTGAAACGGAGGGTGGAGATGTTTAATTTTGCATTTCATGGATCAATTTAGCTCAGTGCTGGCCAGTTTCTTCGTTTTTAACCGCAGATAACAGCAAAAGGCTGGACTGCAGGAATCGAATCCCTGTCCGTTATTGCAGCCTGGGGAGTCGGGACTCTGCCAGGTACGTCCATCGTATGTATGAAATCCTTTCTGTAGGCAGATGTCTTGTGTGCATAGCTGTCAGCTTACAGATTTGAAAATAAGGGACCAGCAGCCTTGAAAATAAGGGACCAGCAGCCAAAATAAGGGACCTGCAGCCTCACCTGTTCCAGGCACTCCAGTCTTCCTGTCCTCCTGCAGTCTGGTCAAACTCATGCTGGGTAGCTTCGAGAACACTGTCCAACCAACTTTGTAACCAGAGGTTCAACTGAATAGAATCTGAATCACAAGGCCTATGCAGCCTCAACTTAAGATGGCTCCCCGGCCTGACTTTGCACTGCAAAGTTTGCAGCAGCACATGAAACAAAATGGCATCCAGCATTCAAAAAACCCCTCAGCTTGCATTAACTAGTCACACACAAGGCATGCAAGCTCCACCCCCCAGTCGTTCTTAGACTTCTTATTGGGTGAGCAACACAGCCAAGCAACACAGTTGGAGCCTCCCTCCTCCCTGGCCGGCAGGGAGGGAGGGAGAGGAGCTGCTTCCTTTGAAATTTAAGGGACATCATTTAAGGGACATTTAAGGGACATCCATCAATAAGGGACAGCAGTGGGACATAGCGCTGGAATAAGGGACTGTCCCTTCAAATAAGGGACACTTGACAGCTATGCTTGTGTGCAGCTGTGCTCGGGGGGTGAAATCTGGCAACCGAGTGCAGCATGCTGACAACCTCAAGGTCTAATTTAAAAAGCAGGGGGAAAGGCTCTGGTTCTCAAGACAAAGGCAGACTTGAGAATGGATGCCTCTGTTTTGAGTTGGTGGGTGGGGAGGGAGGATTTCAGCCACGGCTGGAGAAGCTAGTTTGCTGAAATGCGGCCGACGATGTAAAAGAGAAAAGTCTGGCTGGGATTCACAACGTGGCCCTCTAGACTTCTCTCACCGGCCCCTGGAAAGCGACCACAATTCTTGCACTCTCCTACAGTGTTTCCCCGAGCCGGAACATGCCCTTGAGCTTAATAATAATAATAATAATAATAATAATAATGTATTACTTATACCCCACCCATCTGCCTGAGTTTCCCCAGCCACTCTGGGCGGCTTCCAACAAAAGATTAAAATACAATACAGTGGTACCTTGGGTTACATATGCTTCAGGTTACATACGCTTCAGGTTACAGACTCCGCTAACTCAGAAATATTGCTTCAGGTTAAGAACTTTGCTTCAGGATGAGAACAGAAACAGCAACAGGAGGCCCCATTAGCTAAAGTGGTGCTTCAGGTTAAGAACAGTTTCAGGTTAAGTACAGACCTCCGGAACGAATTAAGTACTTAACCCGAGGTACCACTGTAGTCCGTCAGACATTAAAAGCTTCCCTAAACAGGGCTGCCTTCAGATGTCTTCTAAAAATCTGGCAGTTGTTTTTCTCTTTGACGTCCAGTGGGAGGGTGTTCCACAGGGCAGGTGCCACCACCAAAAAGGCCCTCTGCCTGCTTCCCTGTAACTTGGCTTCTCGCAGCGAGGGAACCTTCAACGAGGCCTCTTGCTAGCTGGGGAGGGCAGAGAGGGGAAGACTCGTGAAATTTACATATATTGCTCCTCCCACTTTTGGCTCTGGCCCCTGGAAGGGAGTGTGGCCCCTGGGCTGAAACAGTTTCACCTCGCCTAGCATCAGCACTTTGCAATATGGTGCAGCGTGTGTGCGGTTTTCGGCAAAATAGTACGAAAGCAAAATAACGACTTGCTGGATTCAAGATGGGTCTAGAACACAACTTTGTAAACCGATTCTGAAGAAAATGTTGTTGTTGTTTTTTAACCACTCTAACGAGGAACCTGATACTTTGGAGCATATTTTCTTTTCTCGTTATTTTGGCATTTATGCCAGGAGACAATTATTAGAGGCCTTACGGCTCAGTAGTCTGAATGCTATGCTGCCAAAAGTTCAGGACCTGCTTTCGGACAGGAATGATCAAATTACTTTAATAGTGGCTGAATTTTTGAGTGCTGTCCATGTAGAAAGATTGGGCCATTATAAAGAGATTTAGTGGTTCTTAATCGGTGATGTGGTAGTGTTGTGTTATTTATGCAAACTGATTTCCTCTGGACTTAAAGATCTGACTGGGACAAACCTTGTTATGCTGAGCTCGTATTTTGCACAATTTGTATACGGTGTCTGTTTGATAATATGTGGTTTGCTATGCCTAATAGCAGGTGGCGCTGTGGGTTAAACCACAGAGCCTTGGGCTTGCCGATCAGAAGGTCAGCAGTTCGAATCCCCGCGACGGGGTGAGCTCCAGTTGTTCAGTCCCTGCTCCTGCCAACCTAGCAGTTCAAAAGCACGCCAAAGTGCAAGTAGATAAATAGGTACTGCTCCGGTGGGAAGGTAAACGGCGTTTCCGTGCGCTGCTCTGGTTCGCCAGAAGCGGCTTAGTCCTGCTGGCCACATGACCCGGAAGCTGTACGCCGGCTCCCTCGGCCAATAAAGCGAGATGAGCGTCGCAACCCCAGAGTCGGTCACGACTGGACCTAATGGTCAGGGGTCCCTTTACCTTTACATTATGCTTAATAAAGGATATTTGATGATGTAAACCACTCTAACGGGTTTTGTTTGGGAAGGAATTTTTCACAAACAAACATGCCATCCATTTATACTGCAATTCGTTTATACGGTAAGCCTTCCTGTGATCCTCAGATGTTTAACAAATAAATACAGGATTGACTGCCCCAAGGCAGCTTAAGTCGTATTTAAAAGCCTTTGCATTCGGCTCATTAATATATATATATTTAATGCAACTAGTCCTCATGATGGCCGTTTCTTTGTCTGCCTTTAGGAATCCCCACACCTTGGTGGAAGTGACGTCTTTCGCAGCCCTTAACAAGTTCCAGCCTTTCAACGTTGCCATCTCCAGCAACGTCCTTTTGTTAGTGGTACGTGGACATTTGGCAGGGCCCTGGCCGGCCCCACCAAGAGGCCTCAGTAATAATATAATAAATTATTCTTTATACCCTACCCATCTCGCTGGGTTTCCTCAGCCACTCTGGGCGGCTCTCAACAAAATTAAAAGCACAATAAAACATCAAACATTAAAAACTTCCCTAAACAGGGCTGCTTTCAGATGTCTTATAAAAGTCAGATAGTTGTTTATTTCCTTGACATCTGATGGGAGGGCGTTCCACAGGACGGGCGCCACTACCGAGAAGGCCCTCTGCCTGGTTCCCTGTAACTTGGCTTCTCGCAGTGAGGGAACTGCCAGAAGGCCCTCGGAGCTGGACCTCAGTGTCCGGGCTGAACTATGAGGGTGGAGACCCTCCTTCAGGTATACTGGGCTGAGGCTGTTGAGGGCTTTCAAGGTCAGCACCAACACTTTGAATTGTGCTTGGAAACGTACTGGAAGCCAATGAAGGTTTTTCAGGACCAGTATTATATGGCCTCAGTGGCCACTCCCAGTCACCAGTCTAGGTTGTTGTAGTTTCTGGGTCACCTTCAAAGGTAGCCCCACATAGAGCACATTGCAGTAGTCCAAGCGGGAGATAACCAGAGCATGTACCACTCTGGCGAGACAGTGTGGGCAGGGAGGGTCTCATTCTGCGTACCAAATGGAGCTGGTAGACAGCTGCCCTGGACACAGAATTAACCTGTGCCTTCATGGACAGCTGTGAGTCCAAAATGACTCCCAGGCTGCGCACCTGGTCCTTCAGGGGCACAGCTACCCCATTCAGGACCAGGGAGTCCTCCACACCCACCCGCCACCTGTCCCCCAGAAACAGTCCTTCTGTCTTGTCAGGATTCAACCTCAATCTGTTAGCTGCCATCCATCCTCCAACACTCCAGACACTCACAAAGGCCTTCACTGGTTCTGATTTAAAAGAGCTTTTGGGGGTGGAGGGAGGAATCCACAAATCTGATAGCTTGGACATGAGGAATATAGCATTGTAGAGTCGGAAGGGACACTAAGAGTCATCTAGTCTGACCCCCATGCAATGCAGGGATTATGGGAGCTGGAGTCCAGCAGCACCCATGGCACCCAAGGGTGACCAAACCTCTAAACCTGTGCTCTTTCCCCCCTTCCTCTTAGGACTTCCATAGTCACCTGACGAAGAGTGAAGTGACTGGCTATCTCGGAGGTCGTTGGGACACCAACAGCCAGCGTAAGTTCCCCTGGGGTAACTAGCAAGGGAGTGGAGCTGAAATGTTTCAAATTTCCTTTAAAATGTATTTAATTAAATAACAGGACCAGTGGTCAGGGATGATGGGAATTGTAGTCCTAAACATCTGGAGGGCCGGAGTTTGCTTATGCCTGACTTACATCATAGGAGCCTGCACAACACAAAACACTGTTGCTGTATGTAGGTTTTTATTTTTTATCTATGCCTATGCCTGGTCTGGGACACAGGTGGCGCTGTGGGTTAAACCACAGAGCCTAGGGCTTGCCGATCAGAAGGTCAGCAGTTCGAATCCCTGCGACGGGGTGAGCTCCCGTTGCTCAGTCCCTGCTCCTGCCAACCTAGCAGTTCGAAAGCACGTCAAAGTGCAAGTAGATAAATAGGTACCGCTCCGGCGGGAAGGTCAACGGCATTTCCGTGTGCTGCTCTGGTTCGCCAGAAGCGGCTTAGTCCTGCTGGCCACATGACCTGGAAGCTGTACACCGGCTCCCTCGGCCAATAAAGTGAGATGAGCGCTGCAACCCCAGAGTCGGCCACGACTGGACCTAACGGTCAGGGGTCCCTTTACATAGACCTATGCCTGGTCTAAGAGGACTCTCAAGATTGACTTTCAAGCTCTCACACATCTTTTCTTTCTTAAATCTTTCAGTGTTAACGGTGCTGAGGGCATTCCCTTGCCGATCACGCCTTGCGGACGGGGACTTAGCAGCTGCTGTGGAAGAAGAGGTAAGGAGCTCATATCATTAGTAATGGTGGTGCTGGAGTCCAACATGGGGTAGCGGGCACCACGGCTGCCTCATGGATTGTTTGTTCGGTTCTTTGCCCTCCAGCTGTCTTGGAAGTATAACTCTCAGGCAAACAGCTTGGATGAGGATGATGGGAAGACAAGTTGCTCCCCGTTCGAGGGTGTTCTTCTTTGGTTGGGAACTCACTTGTTTTCCATTTTGGGGCTAACAGAACATGGGCTGCAGTAGCAGCATACATTTGTTGTTTAGTCGTTTAGTCGTGTCCGACTCTTCGTGACCCCCTGGACCAGAGCATGCCAGGCCTTCCTGTCTTCCACTGCCTCCCACAGTTTGGTCAGTCTCGTGTTAGTAGCTTCAAGAACACTGTCCCACTATCTCGTCCTCTGTCGTCCCCTTCTCCTTGTGCCCTCCATCTTTCCCAACATCAGGGTCTTTTCCAGGGAGTCTTCTCTTCTCATGAGGTGGCCAAAGTCTTGGAGCCTCAGCTTCAGGATCTGTCCTTCCAGTGAGCACTCAGGGCTGATTTCCTTCAGAATGGAGAGGTTTGATCTTCTTGCAGTCCATGGGACTCTCAAGAGTCTCCTCCAGCACCAGAATTCAAAAGCATCAGTTCTTCTGGATATGCTTAAGACTGCTGAAAAGCAACATCCTTTCCCTCTTGTCTTCAGATATGCCAGAACCTTTTTATGCGTGGGCTTTCCCTGGTGGGCTGGTATCACAGCCACCCGTTCAGCCATGCCTTGCCATCCCTCCAGGACATCGATACTCAAATGGACTACCAGCTGAAGCTCCAGGGAACGAGCAACAGCTTCCAGCCTTGCCTGGCACTCATCTGCGGTAAGTGGCAGAAGGGTGCCCGTCCGTCTCAATGAAACAGCCTGTGCTGGTCCCGTGGGTTAACCATGATGCGAGGTCCAAGTCCAGTCCGTGGTCGAGGATGCAGTATGGAGGCAGTCTGTCAAAGCTGTAGCTGGGTCCAAGGCAGGGAGTCGGGTGAGGGCAGGAGCTCCGGCAGGACAGGGTGCAGGCAGGAACTGTCTACCAACAACGTTGCTCCCGCAACCTGGGCCTGGGGCTGGCTGGCTTTTATCTGCCCCGAGGCACAGGGCGGCCCCTGTCCACAGGTGACTCGGCTCTCCTGGCCTGGAGGCGAGCACTCCTCCTGTGAGAACTTAGTTCCTTTCGCCTCTCTGCCCTGAGCCTCTGCAGCTCAGGAGAGGCTGGAGGGTGACCGGACCCAGAGGCAACCTCAGCTTCCCCTGACGGGGCTGAGAGTGGAGCACCTACAGGCAATGGGTCCTCCATCACCTCCGGAGCCAGAGCAGACTCAGCTGAGGACCCAGCACAGGTGAGGACCCTTCAGGCTCAAGCCCCAGCCACGGCTCAGCTGGTTCTGGAGGCGGGGACTCCTGTGCAGGCTGGGATTCCTCAGGTTCAGCCTCTGAGCCCGAATCCCAGGCCACCGCACAGCCCACCGTCTCGCAGCACTCTGCAAACGTTAGGTGCAGAAACGGGCAGCAATGTGCCTCTCCCAGTGTATCTCCTTTACGGATTTCTCCTGTGTCTAATCCAGTGTTTCCCAACCTTTTTTGGGCAAAGGCACACTTGTTTCATGAAAAAAATCTCGAGGCACACCACCATGCCAGATGGGGAAAGGTCACTTTTTACTTATGTAAAAAAAAATAAAAAAATAGTAACAGCATAGAAGGTAATGGTTAGGCTAGCATCCCTCTTCCAAATATGCTAGGTTTTTATTTGCAGGGACTGTTCTACATGGGAAAGCATTCAGCACTGTCATTCTCCCATCTGCCATCTGAATTGGTACTATTCTGGGTCAACTTACTCTGCTGCATGTGTAGATGAAAATGGCACCAAGTGTGGGGGAGGGGGCAGAACAGGTTTCAGATACAGGATATTAAGCATACACGTACTTCAGATTGAACTGGTTGCTTGCTTTGCAAGTTTTCATTTCCCAAATGACTGCCTTGGCAAGCGCAATACCTACCAGGCTCAACGCCGGTCTCGCGCTGCCGCTTCCCGCGCTCTCAAGGACCCGGGAGGAGGAAGGCGTGAAGGGAATCCCGAAGGCGCGAAAACCTCGCGCATACGCAGGCCTTCCGCCTGCGACAGCCCAGTAGGCCGGCCGAAGCGAGCGGCGATGGGATGTGGGAGGGAGCTCGCTCGCCGCCCCGCGTGTGCCTATGTGGGGCACGTTACAGCCCCGTGACGTCAGCGCCACGCAGGCAGACGGCGAGAGCCCCGCGCTGGGCGGCCTCTCCTCGCCGCCGCCGCCCCGCCTCTCGCCGCCCGACTCGCCCGCCTCCCTCCAGGCAACATCTCGCGGCACACCAGGCAACGTCTCGCGGCACACTAGTGTGCCGCGGAACACCGGTTGGGAAACACTGGTCTAATCCCATCTGTAACTCACTCTACGTGGGGCTGCCCTTGAGACTGACCCAGAAACTCCAGTGGGTGCAGAATGCCACAGCAAGACTCCTTACGGGGTCCTCTCCGTGGGATCACATCCACCCGGAGAAGGTCGGCGGTTCAAATCCCTGCGACAGTGTGAGCTCCCATTGTTCGGTCCCTGCTCCTGCCAACCTAGCAGTTCGAAAGTGTAGGGATCAGATGGGATTACCACGAGGAATTATAACATATACATCAAGCCATCGTGTCCACGATGATGTATATTTTATAATTCCTCATGGTAATCCTATCTGATCCCTACAGAAAGCACGTCAAAGTGCAAGTAGATAAATAGGTACCACTCCGGCGGGAAGGTAAACGGCGTTTCCGTGTGCTGCTCTGGTTCACCAGAAGCGGCTTAGTCCTGCTGGCCACATGACCCGGAAGCTGGACGCCGGCGCCCTCGGCCAGTAAAGCGAGATGAGCGCCGCAACCCCAGAGTCAGCCATGACTGGAGCTAATGGTCAGGGGTCCCTTTACCTTTTATACCAGCTGCACTGGCTCCCAGTGGAATACATGGTCAGGTTTAAGGTGCTGGTTTTAACCTTTAAAGCCCTATACGGCCGAGGACCCTCGTACCTACGAGACCGCCTCTCCTGGTATGTCCCACAGCGCCACCCGCATCCCACCCTATATATAGAAACGAGCAAACCAGTGATGTTTTAGGGAGCAGGCTAGCAGGCGGGGCCCATGACCTACACCAGCCATAGGCAAACTCAGCCCTCCAGATGTTTTGGAACTACAACTCCCATCATCCCTAGCTAGCAGGACCGGTGGTCGGGGATAATGGGAATTGTAGCCCCAAAACATCTGGAAGCAGAGTTTGCTTATGCCTGACATACATCATAGGAGCCTGCACAACACAAAACACTGTTGCTGTATGTAGGTTTTTATTTTTTATCTTATATTTTGGAAATGTACATCCAGTTTTATTTTCCTTTATTTTTTTGGGAGGCCCCGAAGAGAGCAGGGCCCTAAGCTATAGATTGTATAGCTTATACGTAAATTTGTTTAGCTTATACTGTTCCCATGCTAGGTGCCCAAATGATCTGGAGAGCCAGTGTGGTGTAGCGGCTAAGAGCGGTGGACTCGTAATCTGGTGAACCGGGTTCGCTTCCCCGCTCCTCCACATGCAGCTGCTGGGTGACCTTGGGCCAGTCACACTTCTTTGAAGTCTCTCAGCCCCACTCACCTCACAGAGTGTTTGTTGTGGGGAGGAAGGGAAAGGAGAATGTTAGCCGCTTTGAGACCCCTTCGGGTAGTGATAAAGCGGGATATCAAATCCAAACTCTTTTTCTGTCTTATTGTCCCCTCAGGTCCATACTGCCATGCCAACCAAGGCATGGAGTCGAAGATTGCACCCTTCTGGGTTATGCCCCCTCCGGAGGTGAGTCCTGCAGCGCCTGAGTAAGGTGCCCTTTGGGAGAGCCGGGGGCGCAAGAAAGTACCTCACACCAAATCAGACCATTGGTTTGGAAAATACAGCCGGTGCAGAATTCAGCACCCAGCTTGCTCACCGAAGGAAGACGGTCTGAGCATATTACACAGATCTGGTCCGACTGCACTGGCTACCAATTAGTTTCCGGGCCCAATTCAAAGTGCTGGTTCTGACCTTGTTGTTGTTTAGTCGTTTAGTCGTGTCCACCTCTTTGTGACCCCCTGGACCAGAGCACACCAGGCACTCCTGTCTTCCACTGCCTCCCGCAGTTTGGTCAAACTCATGCTGGTCGCTTCGAGAACACTGTCCCACCATCTCGTCCTCCGTCGTCCCCTTCTCCTTGCACCCTCCATCTTTCCCAACATCAGGGTCCTTTCCAAGGAGTCTTCTCTTCTCATGAGGTGGCCAAAGTCTTGGAGCCTCAGCTTCAGGTTCTGTCCTTCCAGTGAGCACTCAGGGCTGATTTCCTTCAGAATGGAGAGGTTTGATCTTCTTGCAGTCCATGGGACTCTCAAGAGTCTCCTCCAGCACCAGAATTCAAAAGCATCCATTCTTTGGCGATCAGCCTTCTTTATGGTCCAGCTCTCACTTCCATACATACTAGGTTCTGACCTAGAAAGCCTTAAACCATGGGTAGGCAAACTAAGGCCTGGGGGCCCAGAATGCAGCTGCTGGATTGGTGACTGGGAGCGGCTACCCGGACCACATAACACTGGTACTGAAAGACCTACATTGGCTCCCAGTACGTTTCCGAGCTCAATTCAAAGTGTTGGTGCTCACCTTTCAAGCCCTAAACAGCCTCGGTCCTGTATACCTGAAGGAGCGTCTCCACCCCCATCGTCCAGCCCGGACACTGAGGTCCAGCGCCGAGGGCCTTCTGGTGGTTCCCTCATTGCGAGAAGTGAGGTTACAGGGAACCAGGCAGAGGGCCTTCTCGGTGGTGGCACCCTCCCTGTGGAACACCCTTTGAGAGCCTCCCAGAGTGGCTGGGGAAACCCAGCCAAACGGGCGAGATATAAATTACTACTACTACTACAATTATTATTATTATTATTATTATTATTATTATTATTATATGCAGCAGCAGAGGGGGAAAGACTGCAGGATATTTTTCCGAACCTAAGCCATGTTGTTTCCCAAGGGGATGTTTGGTACTCTGTCAATTGCTTGCTGCTGTTAATGTGTGTGCATATGTGTTCGTCAGTTGGTGCTGTACAAATATTATAATCAATCAATAAAAGGGTAAAATCACTTGTTGCTCAGAAGTAAAAGGTAAAGGTACCCCTGCCCGTACGGTCCAGTCTTGACAGACTCTAGGGTTGTGCGCCCATCTCACTTAAGAGGCCGGGGGCCAGCGCTGTCCGCAGACACTTCCAGGTCACGTGGCCAGCGTGACAAAGCTGCATCTGGCGAGCCAGCGCAGCACACGGAAACGCCGTTTACCTTCCCGCTGGTAAGGACGGGAGCTCACCCCGCCGCGGGGATTCGAACCGCCGACCTTTTGATCGGCAAGCCCTAGGCGCTGAGGCTTTTACCCACAGCGCCACCCGCGTCCCTCTGCTCAGAAGTATGTTGGCTCAATTAAAGGCGGTTCATTCTGAGGAGCTGCACCTCTAAGCCACCAGGGGGCGCTTTACAACTTTGGTTCTCCTGAGCAAGTCAAGAGAGTGAGAGGAAAAAACCACACAATTTGATATGATTCACTTCTCTGTGTCTCTCTCTTCACTCCCTTCCCCGGCCAAATATTCTCTTCCACCAGCAAAGGCCTTATGATTACGGCATCCCCATGGAAGTTGAGGTCACCTACGTCCAAGACGGCTTCCTGACCAACGACATTCTCCACGAGATGGTAACTTTGTTTTTTTGTTTTTTTTAAAAGGTATTTATTAAAGTTTTTAAACAATAAAACAGACTTCACATTCACAACCAAACAAAAAGAACACCATCACAATCAATCAAAATAGAACCAAAAACGGGGGAAAAAGAGTACATTAAAAAAAACCCCATACAAAATAGAAGAAAAAAGACATGCAAAAATGAAAAAAAAAGAAAAAAAGCATAGAAAACCAGTTTCTTAAAATATAGTTTTCATAACCCTCCTTCCAGACTTCCTCACATCTCCCTTTTCTGTATTCCCCTTTACAAAGTTTTGTTCAGCAATACTTCACCCTCTTTCAAATCTTATTTTATATTATACATTTCAGCTATTATGTCTCCAAGTTTTTCCCTTTATTATCAGTTATTTAAGTTAGACATAACCTTATTCTGGCTTCACCTTGGTTCTTATTCTTTTTGCTTACTACTTTCAGCTATGTCACTAATGCCGTATTATCTTTATATCTTGCATCATTCTAACATTTGGAAATTATTCTAACATTCATCATTCTAACATTCACGAGATGGTAACTCTGGTCCATCTGAATTTCACATCTGCTCAGGGGAAGAATGTTTGGTTGCGTCACCAAAGCGCCTTTTGTTCCAGACACACAGGGCTGCGATGATCTAAAGCCAGGCCTCTCGAAAAACAAAATTTGTAACTGATGGCAGAACAATCCTTACATTCAGAGAGCTCTGCGGGCATTCACAATGCAAGCGTTGTGCGTGAGCTTGAAAGTCAATCTTCAGAGTCCTTTTGGACCAGGCATAGGCAAACTCCGGCCCTCCAGATGTTTGGGACTACAATTCCCATCATCCCTGACTACTGGTCCTGTTAGCTAGGGATGATGGGAGTTGTAGTCCCAAACATCTGGAGGGCCGGAGTTTGCCTATGCCTGTCTTAGTCCCAAGGCTCCTTCGAATTATTGCCAGTCAGATTCCCTTAAGAAGCCCCTGATCGCAGTGCTGTAGGGAAATTTGGGGTTGCCTTTTAGAGCCCAACTCTCCGTGTCCCCTAAGTCTGTTTATCGGTTGGAGAAAAATGAACCGTAGAATTGGAAGGGATGTCAAGAGTAGTCTATTGCAACACCCTGCAATGCAGGAAAAGGTAAAGGACCACTGGGCGGTTAAGTCCAGTCCAAAGGCGACTATGGGTTGCGGCGCTCATCTCGCTTTCAGGCCGAGGGAGCCGGCGTTTGTCCACAGACAGCTTTCTGGGTCATGTGTCCAGCAGGACTAAACCGCTTCTGGCGCAACGGGACACCGTGATGGAAACCAGAGCGCACAGAAATGCCGTTTACCTTGCTGATGGAGCAGTACCTATTTATCTACTTGCACTGGTGTGCTTTTGAACTGCTAGGTTGGCAGGGACCGAGCAACGGGAGCTCACTCCGTCATGGGGATTCGAACCGCCGACCACCTGATCGGCAAGCCCAAGAGGCTCAGTGGTTTAGACCACAGCGCCACTCGCAGGGTTTTTTATCTTCAGGAAAACCAGTACAGTGGTACCTCGGGTTACAAACGCTTCGGGTTACAAACACTTTGGGTTACAAACTCCGCTACCTCGGAAGTAGTACCTCAGGTTGAGAACTTTGCCCCAGGATTAGAAAGGAAATCACGTGGTGGCAGCGGGAGGCCCCATTAGAGAAAGTGTGCCTCACGTTAAGAACTGTTTCGGGTTAAGAACGGACCTCCGGAACGAATTAAGTTTGTAACCCGTGGTACGACAGTAGAAGGAAAGCAAGGGCGATCTTTTCTAGAGAAAGAGGTGCTGGAACTCGCCATGAACGCCTTCCCTTGTTCTCTTGGAATGGCAATGGCAGCCACCTGAGAGCTGCCAAAACAGAGTCCTGGCTGGGGGAAAAGCCCTGTGGTGTAGGCCGAATGTGATTCCTGTTCTTTCTTCCTCAAAGATGCTGCTGGTGGAGTTTTACAAAGCGGCACCCGACGTAGTGAAGTTTCAAGAGATGTGGAGTCAGGAGCAGACCTATCTGGATAAACTAAAGGTAATCTTGAGGAAGAGTTGCCCGGCGGTGGAGCGGACCTCCAGTGAAGGTGGTAGATTCTCCTTCCTTGGAGGTTTTCAGGCAGGGGTTGGGCGGGGATTCGTTAAACTGGGATTCCTGTGTTGCAAGTGGTTGGACTGGATGACCCTCAGGGGTCCCTTCCGACTCCACAAGTCTCTAGTTATGCATGCTCTGGTGATCTGGACTACTGCAATGCGCTCTCAATGGGGCTCCCTTTGAAGGTGACCCGGAAACTGCAGCTAATCCAGAATGTGGCAGCTAGACTGGGGACTGGGAGCAGCCGCCGAGACCACATAACACCGGTCCTGAAAGACCTACATTGGCTCCCAGGATGTTTCCAAGCCCAATTCAAAGTGTTGGTGCTGACCTTTAAAGCCCTAAATGGCCCAGGGTACCTGAAGGAGCGTCTCCACCCCCATCGTTCTGCCTGGACACTGAGGTCCAGCTCCGAGGGCCTTCTGGCGGTTCCCTCGCTACAAGAAGCCAAGTTACAGGGAACCAGGCAGAGGGCCTTCTCGGTAGTGGCGCCCGCCCTGTGGAACGCCCTCCCACCAGATCTCAAAGAGAAGAACAACTACCAGACTTTTAGAAGACATCTGAAGGCAGCCGTGTTTAGGGAAGCTTTTAATGTTTGATGGATTGCTGTATTTTAATATTTAGTTGGAAGCCGCCCAGAGCGGCTGGGGAAGCCCAGCCAGATGGGCGGGGTATAAATAATAAATTATTATTATTATTATTAATTGTAAAACATAAAAAATTAATAATTAGAGAGGCAGAGAAAGTATCACACGGTGATTTGTGTGTGGGCCATGCAAGGGAGAAGCCATTTTTCTTGCCTACGTGCATTTAGCAAGCTGCCGATGCTCACTTTTGGTCCGAGTGCCCTGCCTGTTCGAATGACGAACGCTGCTATCCTTTTCTTCCAGGGCTCATTGGCTTCCAGGACACCCAAGGACCAAGGTTTCGGACACATCCTGGATCAAGTCTACAGCATCCTCAAGCAATATAGCTGAAACCAGGAGGAGGAACCATGTCTTCAAGAAGCTGTCGGTCAGGGGTTAGGGAAAGACGTTTGGGTGAGAAGCTTCCCACTTTGAAACCCAGTTCTACCCCATCTTGCTTGGCGGGTGGAGACAGAAATGGAGACCCTTTGTGTTTGTGTGTGTGTGTTTAAGAAAGGTTTTTCACGAGTTTAAGAGGAAACACCGGACCAGCCAAGAACACGCTTTGATTTGCCTATGCGGAATCTCGAGAAGCTATCTGTTCCCCTGTACTCGGCTTGGCGTCACGGGGCAGAACACACCCATTTCATAGATGCGTCGACTGAAGCAACCTGGCTTGCGAGGCCTCAAAAGGACCCCTTGGTAGTGTTAGGATATTTCCGTTCCACCTTAAAAGGGAGCAGGATGTTTGTGTCACAGCCTGCTTATTTCCTGTTCACGGGGTGTTTCTGTTGTGTCTATGCGTTCGTTTCTCTCTCTGTGCCTGAACACTGAAGCAGGCAGTCATGTTTTTTCTTTGTTCTGACCAACGCTGAATAAAATTGTAAATAATGCTCTCCTTAGTGCATCTTTCGCTGTGCATTATCTGCTGATAAGAGCGTGCATCAGCTCTGGAATGTGGCAAGCTATTTCTGGAGCTCGTGTCGCTAATTGCTGATACTGCGTGTCTACGGGAGATCAATGGACGTCCGGAGGCGACGTGGAGTCTTGATGGATGATGTCTCCCTGGCAGTATCCCAACAGGTAGATCTCGAATTCAATCCAGCACAGTGTTTGCACTGGTCGACACCGCTGATCTCCTCTTGAGGTTTTCCAAGACGGAACGGAAGCCCACAACTCTCTAGTTTCGTCTTATGTTTCGTGCTGTCAAGGGTGAGGAGAAACTCGCCTGCGGCCTCCTATGTTTGGGGTGTGTGAGTCTGAGCTGGTAAGAGGGCAGATTTTTAAGAAGGGGCAGTGTGCTGTTGCCTTTCTAAAAAATTTCACGGATCTGTAGAAGCAGCAAAAACCGAGTGAAAAGGCAACTAAAAAGGACGGAAGCTTACTTTGTGTAAAAGCAGGGTTGCGGCAGGTTGGTGAAAATCTTGCTTTGTCCTAAAGGGTAAAGGGACCCCTGACCATTAGGTCCAGTCGTGGCCGACTCTGGGGTTGCGGCGCTCATCTCGCTTTATTGGCCGAGGGAGCCGGCGTACAGGTCATGTGGCCAGCAGGACTAAGCCGCTTCTGGCGAACCAGAGCAGTGCACGAAAATGCAGTTTACCTTCCCGCCGGAGTGGTACCTATTTATCTACTTGCACTTTGACGTGCTTTCGAACTGCTAGTTTGGCAGGAGCAGGGACCGAGCAACGGGAGCTCTCCCCGTCACAAGGATTCGAACCACCGACCTTTTGATCGGCAAGTCCTAGGCTCTGTGGTTTAACCCACAGCGCCACCCGCATCCTGTGCTTTGTCCTTTCTGTGTTCCTTAAAAGCAGCTGTGCATCTATCTGTTCCTGTGGCTCTCGGATAGGGAAGCTGTGATGCTCCAGATGTTTCTGGACTCCTGGCAGGAATGACTGGATCTGGGAATCCCAGCAAACTGGTTCTGACGGCTCTGTAGAACAAGCCGCCCCAGGAGGTGATTTGCCTGCCGCATCTCTTTCTGATGTACAGTCCTGCCCTGGCCTCCCTCTGGTCAGCCTCTGCTGGGGATGGGGCAGTTCCGTCCCGGTTTTTGTTGTTGTTGAATGTACAGGCAACTCCCTGCTCACACGTGTTCTGTTTGCCAAGTGGTACCCAGAAATGAGGACCACTTGGTCTACCGGGCCCCCGCTGTCCCTCCGGCTCATGCGAGGGCTTGCCTGACCAGCTCAGCTTCCCCGTGCATCGGTAGACCTTTGCCGAACAGCCTCAACAAGCCTCTGGCTCATGAGGAAACCCTCCCCAGAGCCCAGAGGACGTCCTCTTTGGGCTCTGGAGAGGGTCTCCGGACAAGCTGGGCTTTGGCTTCCTTGGCAGCTTCTGCTGCGCTACCCCGCATGTCAGCTGCTAAGCGGGGAGGCGAAGCAGCTCAACAAAGCTCTGCTGATCCTCCGGCTCATAAGCAGGCCCTCTCCAGGATGGGGTGGGTCTCCTCCCGTGCCAGGACGACTCTCCAGGGTGCTCCCCATTTCCTGCAATTTCCCTTACGCATGCGGGAGCCAGGAACGTAACCCCCGCGTAAACGGGGAGTCGCCTGTGATTGAATCCTTTAGAATGACAAACCCACGAAAAGCTAGACTACAGCTCTTTCATTTGAAGCTGCTGGGTTGGATCGTGGCCTTCCATGGCTTTTGGGGCTTTTTAGCTTAGCTTTTAAGGGACGCGGGTGGCGCTGTGGGTAAAACCTCAGCGCCTAGGACTTGCCGATCGCATGGTCGGTGGTTCGAATCCCCGCGGCGGGGTGCGCTCCCGTCGTTCGGTCCCAGCGCCTGCCAACCTAGCAGTTCGAAAGCACCCCCGGGTGCAAGTAGATAAATAGGGACCGCTTACTAGCGGGAAGGTAAACGGCGTTTCTGTGTGCTGCGCTGGCTCGCCAGATGCAGCTTGTCACACTGTCCATGTGACCCGGAAGTGTCTGCGGACAGCGCTGGCTCCCGGCCTCTAGAGTGAGATGAGCGCACAACCCTAGAGTCTGTCAAGACTGGCCCGTACGGGCAGGGGTACCTTTACCTTTTAGCTTAGGGGGAAAGCAAGCCAGAGGATTGCAAAATGATGTGTGTTGCAGAGAATGTCGATGGGGGGGGGGAGATTTCTCTCTCTCCTCCCTCCTTCATAATCCTAGCACTTGGTGACAATGAAGATGAATATTGGAAGATTCAGGAGAGATTAAGGAAAGTAGTTCAGACAGCACATAGATTAGTGATGGCCACCAAGTTGCCAAACTTTGAAGGAGGATTTAGATAAATTCTTGGAGGGGGTTTCCTTCTCCCCCCCCCAAAGAGAAGTTGGCTACCAGGTGCAAAAAAACAACAAAAAAAAACCAACCCTAAAGTTTTGAATGAATCTGACACCTGCAGTTTTCCAAATTCAGTTACCCACATTTCTACAGAAATATGCAACTGAAATTTAAAAAAAAAGGGGGGGGAGAATGACAAACCCACAAAATGAGGCTTCGTGTACCAAGAGCAACCCCTTGAACCTGGCCCTGCTGGGACTACAAATCCCATTATGCCTGATGAATGGCTTTGCTGGCCAGCTGGGGAAGATGAGAGTCCATTGACATCTAGGGGCCTGCAGGATCCCCATTCCTCTTCTAAATGGTACAAAGGAATGGCGCCAAAATCATAGAATCGTAGAATCATAGAGTTGGAATAGACCACAAGGGCCATCGAGTCCAACCCCCTGCCAAGCAGGAAACACCATCAGAGCACTCCTGACATATGGTTGTCAAGCCTCTGCTTAAAGACCTCCAAAGAAGGAGACTCCACCACACTCCTTGGCAGCAAATTCCACTGTCGAACAGCTCTTACTGTCAGGAAGTTCTTCCTAATGTTTAAGTGGAATCTTCTTTCTTGTAGTTTGGATCCATTGCTCCGTGTCCGCTTCTCTGGAGCAGCAGAAAACAACCTTTCTCCCTCCTCTATATGACATCCTTTTATATATTTGAACATGGCTATCATATCACCCCTTAACCTCCTCTTCTCCAGGCTAAACATGCCCAGCTCCCTTAGCCGTTCCTCATAAGGCATCGTTTCCAGGCCTTTGACCATTTTGGTTGCCCTCCTCTGGACACGTTCCAGTTTGTCAGTGTCCTTCTTGAACTGTGGTGCCCAGAACTGGACACAGTACTCCAGGTGAGGTCTGACCAGAGCAGAATACAGTGGCACTATTACTTCCCTTGATCTAGATGCTATACTCCTATTGAGGCAGCCCAGAATTGCATTGGCAATCAAAAGGAGAAACAAAAAAAAACAAGAACCCACTGCCTTCAAACATTTAATACTTTTTTATTTCAAGGATACAAGGTTTTTCGTGTTGTTTTTTTATTCCAAAACAGAAGGGGAGAAATAAACCCATTAACAAGAACAAAATAAGATGTGTTTCCCATGCCCACCCCCACATAAAATTGTCCAGAGTAAGTAAAGAGAGAGAGAGAGACTTGCTTCACTCCAACGGAACAAGCACCAGGAGTTATGCCCTGGCGCGACAATGCTACAGATTAAAAAGCCAGTTATTTACAAAGCCCCTTCCCCAATATTTTTTTTTTTTTTTGTTTCGCTTGTTCTTCCTGTGGTCCTGGTAAATATTTAGGGTGAGGAAGAAGGGGGGAAAGGAGAGAACAGAAGTCTGGGGTGCAAAACAGCCTCACACACGTCACACAATTGGGTCTGGAACCCCAAAATAGCTTCTTAGTGAATTTAGGGAAGGGCGGGAAGAGAGGTTCTCAAGACATGGACTACCAAACTTTTCACTCCAGCCAGACGATACCTTGGGAGTCACGTCAGGGGTAAAACGTATGACATTATCTTACTATATGAATGCGTAGAGGGGGGTGGATATTACAACAATATTTAAACGGGATATTGAAGTTAGGACAGCGAAGGTGGGGGAAATAAAAACCGAAAGCAGCTTGTAGGAGAGGCGATCGCAGACGAAAGCCAGCCCTCTCCAAACCCTGACACTCGCTGGACAAGGGAGAGAAATTAACTATGAATAAGTTGGCTGGATATACCTATATAAATAGAATGTGCACGAGAAATGTCGGGGGGAAGGGGAAACGGACAAAGACAAAAGGCTATTTCTGAGAGGGTGGGTGGAGGGTCAGGAAACCCAACCCCCACAATTCATAGGTACAGGCTGGATCCGTCCACCACCTTGTCGTGGTCCTCTGCCAACCGCCCCCCCCCCGGGGTCGGCACCATGGATCCTCGGGGCGCAGTGGTCCTGGGTGCTTCCTGGTAGCAACAGCTGTGCCAGAGAGTTGGGTCCAGCCCCCTTTTAAATCCCAGCAGAGCCCTCCCTCCATCCCACCCCCCCCCAAAAAAATCATTTGCAATGTTGTTTTGGTGCACTGTGAAAAAACAAGATGGCCGTGCAAAGGTGGAAAGCCCGAGCAATGGCCTTCTGCCCACCTGCCTGAAACGCCATGGTGTGTGTGTGTGTGTGTGAAATCCCGAGAGCCCTTTGAGCGGTTGGGATTGGAAAGACAAAGGGCACAGCTGCCCCCCAGCGAAGAAACGAAGGGTTGTGGGGGAAGGAGCAGATTGCAGAACCGTAAACGCACCCCGCCCCTCAAAACTGTGTTTAGTTCCACTGCCCCGCAGTGGGAGAACATGAAGACATTAGGAAGACAGGGAAGGGGGTCAGCAACAGAATTACGGAAGGGTGTTTGCAAAGCTGGGAGAAGTTGGCCCAGCTATTGCTTTTCGCCGCAGCCTCAATACCGAACTGGGGGGCAGGGGAGTTTGGGGGCTGAGGAGCACGGAAGCCATACGTCCTCTCTGTCGCTGGACGGGAACGCCAAGTGCAACGTTATACATTTGGGAGGGGAGTGTAGGAAGACGATTACGACGGATGCCTTGCTTGGGGGCTGGGTGTGCCTGCCCCTTCCCCTGTAACCAGAAGTGTAGGGGCGGGGAGTGCCTGCACCCACCCACCCACCCACCCACCCAAAGGAGGCTCAGGCAACACGCCTGTGTCCTTCGCAAGGCCGTGGTCCAACGCCGTACCTCACACAACAAAACAAAAATTGAACTGCAGCAGCGTTGCCTGGGCTCCAGCCTCTGATATATTTTGGAGAATGGGCTTTCACCACCAAACTGCAGATTTATCGGCTGCTTATCGGGAGGGACAGGGTTTTTGAACGGTGTATAGAGAAAATCTCCCCACATGTAGAAAGCTTGTGCGTCAGGGAGAAAAAAAAGGCAAGCATCTGGGGACGCTGCCCCAGGGTGCCCTTTGGTAAAGATGCCCTCCCCCCAGTATCTCCCCTCTAAGTGAAGTGGGCTTCTCTGCATCCACTTCTACGCTGGTTCATATGTGAGTGATTCTTAGGGAAGACCCTTTGGCTTAGCCAAGGCGACGGCTCAGTTTTGGGATCGTGGACTCGCAGGAACACAAACCCTGGCACTATAGATAACTGGGGGCTGTTTGAGGCGGTGGGCTGGCTTCTGTGCCTCACTTTCTCCCATTCTGACTCCCCCCGAAGGAATGCTTCCATAAGACTGCCGCACCTTTCATGCAGTGGTAGCTAAACAGGGGCGCCGCCCAGATGTTTCTGAACTCCCGACTCATCACTGCTGGCCTGATGGGAGGTGGAGACCCGCAACATCTGCAAGGCACCTCCCTTGCCTTACAGTCCGGAAACTGAGGCAGTGCAGGTAAGGAGGCTCATTGGAAAATGCATTCTGGGACACCTGGCCCCCACAACTCTTTGGCCAGACAGGCTAGAGGACTTCTGAAAACCAGCCTAGAGGGAATCGACGGAGCCTGGAAGCCAGAGGACTATAAAAGGGAGAGGCGTATTTTGGAGACATCGGCTTGGAATAAAGGGATGGGGGGTCTGGAAGAGTACAAATCACTCCCCTCCTTTTTTTCCGAACTGGAACCCAGCGTTCGAGAGGAAGCAGGGGACAAGGCACATAGAGCGGGGACAGAAAACTCACAGAGGGTCGTGTGCTTAGAAGGTCCTGCAACTGGGTTTGAGGCAAGAGGAGGCCTGGTCCGTTGCGGCGGTAAGGCGAGGTTTTTCGCAGAAGACCTGATGGCTTCCCCGGAGGCTGTTCCCACATTTTTGAAATTGAGCCAGCCTGGTCCCTTAAAAACTTGTTGCCAGGGGGGAACGGTGACCCCCTCCCCAGCAATGAACATGGGGAAAAACTGGCGCAATGTCAGGCAATCGTAGAACAGAGACGGCAACGCTCAGCTGGCCAGCTGTGGCCAAGTTATTTGGGGAGGTGAAGAAAAGGCTATGCCTTTGGGACTTGCACACTCTTTTCAGAAAACCATGAAAGGGGGGGACGTGCCTTTAAACCGACACCATCCAGTGTTAGTTCACAGGTTACGTGCCCAATTTTTGCTCCAAACCAAGCCTGGGGGGTGGGGGAGAAGAGAAACCCTGAGATGACTTAAAAAGGGGTTTTAAATTTTGAAAGGGATCAGACGTGTTCCTAACGGTGCAAGTGCCCTGGGTACGAGGAGGAAAGGAGAAGATCTCTGGTAGTGTTTAACACGAGCCAGGCAAAAGGCTGTGACTTCTCATCTTGTGGAGCTGCTTTGTGCTTCTAAGACACACACACACACAAACACACACACACACACACGCTGCCGCAGAGGGCTGTTCCCCAGGCCAGCCTGGTGACTTCTGCAATTGCGCAAGGAAGACGACTCAGACAATCACAGCTGCCTGCCTCCCTACAATGGGGCTGTGGGCAGTGTGTGCTTCGCTCGGGGTGGAGAGACAAAAAAACCCGCAACCAAGGCAGGGCCGTTACGGAGAGCCCAGGTCGCAAACCAAAACGGGAAGGCCGCGGTGTACAGAGTACAGGGTCCCCATTTGGGTCCAGGCCTCGGAAAAGAACGGGCAGGTGGGCAGAGGGGAGAGAGAGAGAGAGAGACAGGAGGGTCAGTTTGTGCATTGCCCACTCAAACAGATTAGCTCCCACCACCTCCGCCAGGTTCGGGCTACGGATAGGAGCACAGTTACCCCCCCCAAAAAACACACACACATTCTTGCTTGCTGGACGGGGGATTAGTGTTGGGTATATATACCACATGGAATGTAAGTTCGAGGGGTGGGGAGGAGGACGGGAGCCTCTCTCTTTTTCGCCCCCTGTGCAAAGGTGGACGGGAGGCCAAGGAGAGAAGGGGCGGGAGAGGAAGGAAGAGGAAGAACGGAAGCGGTCGGCTTGAGAGCGGAGGGGTGTGTGTGTGTGTGTCCCCCTTCACTGAGGTAGCGGGACCAGAACTTCCACGTAGTTGAGAGGGAAGAAGCCCGACTGGCCGTTGATCATGCCCTCGTACCAGTTCTCGTCGATCTGGTTGGTCAGCGTGATGATGTCGCCCTCCTTGAAGCCCAGCTCGCCGTCGTTCTCCGGTTCGAAGTCGTACAGCGCTTTGCAACACGGCTGGTCCAAATGGGGGGCTGCAGAATTCAAAGGGGAGCGGGGGAGGGTGTCAGTTAGGGCGGGGGCATCGCCTCTCCGCTGACCACCACCCAATGCACCATGCAAGACAAGCGCCACCACTACCTCCTCCTTCCCTAAACCGGGAAATCCTACTGCTCCGGATGTCCAGATCAGGATTCAACCTGCGCTTCTCCTACAAAGCTAAGCTAGTTCCCAGAAACGTTTGGTGCATAGCTATGAGACCTTTCCTCTTTGGCTTCCTACTGTTCGCCTAAGTGTTAAAAGAATAAAAATAAAACCATCGCCACGGCCCTTTAGGCAATTTCTGGGTAAAACGAGCCAGCGAGAGCTGGTGCTGGGGGAGTGGGAATGCCGATGGAGAGCCAAAACACAGGAAGGCAGCACAGTTTGGTGAACAGGACCGGCGGGAGTGAGTCAGGCCACTGGGTCCATCGAGCTCGCAAGGAGCGACAGCCGCTCTCTCAAGAGATTCAGTCTTTTCCCCAGCTCTGCATGCAGCCGGTGGGGATCAAACCTGCGACGCTCTGCATACAAGGCTCTAACCGTGGCGTTACAGCCTTTCCCCGTAACTTCTGGGGAAACGCTGGGTTCAAAAACACTGGGCAGGCCTGCACCCTAGATTTTGACCCTGGTTGAAAAGTAACCCTGGCTCCTTCCGAACCAGGGTTTGCTAACTGTTCCAGAATGAGGAGGGAACTTAGGGACGGAGGACTCCGCTTTCCACCAGGGATTCCTAAAGTTGGGTCTTCAGCTGTTTTTAAACTACAACTCCCATCACCCCTAGCTAGCAGGGCCAGTGGTCAGGGATGATGGGAATTGTAGTTCCAAAAACAGCCAACTTTGGAAACACTGAGCTTGACTCATAGCCCTTTGACTCGCCTACTCTGGCTGGCAGCCGTTTCTCCAGGGTTTCATACTCCTCCCCATCGAACCTGCTACCTGATCCCTTTCGTTTGAAATTCTGGGACTTTTTGCATGCAGGAAAAGCAAGCAGGTGCTCTCAGACATAGGCTAGCCGCGCCGCCCTGGTTTCTGTTTTCTTTCATGACCATGAGGACTACGAACTTGGGTTTGCAAAACGAGTTCTGCAACGGGCACCGAAATCCCTGCATGCGGAGAGTGACTTGCGAAGACTCAAAAGTGCACAGCCCCCAGTTAAGAGAGCGTGTTTTAGAGGCGGGGAATCTTATTAGCCTTGGGACGGGAACGCCAGCAACAGATTAGGCAGAGGATGGAGGAAGGAAGCGGGAAGGATGGAAGGGGAACAGGCCGTGCAAGGGATGCGGAGTGCGGGGGGGGGGGGGAGAAGAGGAAGAGGAGAGGAGCGGTGTCAAAGCAGGGGAGGGAACTCACAAAAAATCCTGCTGGGGGTCCGCGATGGTTTTTCGGATCGGAAAGAGGAGGAAGCTGCTCCCAGAAACGGAAACAAACAAAAACACAGACATGCTTACAAAACGTTTAATGCAAAACACCCAAAAATGTGAGGCGCGGGAAACAAATTCGGGGGCGGGGATGTTGCAGGGCGGTGGAAGGTCTGTTAGTGAGGAGGCGCTTGGGTCAGCAACGGGCAGCCATGGAAGCGAGAGGTTAGGGGACGTGCGGCCTGCTTTTGCTATTCCACCCCCCTCCCAAAGCTGAGGACAGGATGCAGAGAGCAGGGGAACCCTTGCGGGGAGCTGTGGATGGACGCATCCTGATACGGAAACTACAACTAATCCAGAATGCGGCAGCTAGACAGGGGACTGGGAGCGGCCGCCGAGACCACATAACACCGGTCTTGAAAGACCTACACTGGCTCCCAGGATATTTCTGAGCACAATTCAAAGTGTTGGTGCTGACCTTGAAAGCCCTAAACGGCCTCGGCCCAGTAGACCTGAAGGAGCGTCTCCACTCCCATCGTTCAGCCTGGACACTGAGGTCCAGCTCTGAGGGCCTTCTGGCGGTTCCCTCCCTGCGAGAAGCGAGGTTACAGGGAACCAGGCAGAGGGCCTTCTTGGTGGTGGCGCCCGTCCTGTGGAACACCCTCCCACCAGATGCCAAAGAGATAAACAACTACCTGAGATTCAGAAGGCGTCTGCCGCCACCACCAAATTTGGCTTATTTGTGGTGCGTTTCGCAGCTTTTTTATTTTTCCACGTTGTCTGCTCTTTTTATTTGGGGGTGGGACGGGACACAGCCCCTGTTTAGTAGCTCCGGGGATGTGTTACTTTTCGTTTGCCGCTACTTTCGATTATTATACATTACAGTGGTGCCTCGCAAGACGATATTAATCCGTTCCGCGAGTCTCTTCGTCTTGCGGTTTTTCGTCTTGCGAAGCACGGCTATTAGCGGCTTAGTGGCTTAAAGAAAAAGGAAACAAACTCGCAAGAACTTGCAAGATGTTTCGTCTTGCGAAGCAAGCCCATAGGGAAATTCGTCTTGCGGAATGACTCAAAAAACGGAAAACCCTTTCGTCTAGCGAGTTTTTCGTCTTGTGAGGCATTCGTCTTGCGGGGCACCACTGTATTATTATTTTTAAATAGGAAAAATAGCAATATGGCAGAAGAAGAACAACGCCTTAGTTTGGTTTAAGCCATCAAAATAACCCTGCGCAAACCACACCCATCCACACCCCGAGCATTCAGAATGTTACAAGCTGCTGTGCTGAAATATAAAGTATACTGTACTTTTATACACAAAGACTAGGTTTTTTTTACTTTGAAATAAGGTTAAAAATCTGGGGAGGGGGTGTCTTCTACATGGATAGTGCATATGCCCATTTTCTAAATTTGGGGTTCCCAAAAGTAGGGGGCATCTTATACATGGGGGCGTCTTATACACGGAAAAATACAGCACTTAAGAAAACTTCTTAAAACACACACACACGGTTTAATTTATTTCCCTCTGCCCCCAGTGATGACCTTTAACCTTCCAAGGCCCAAAGGGTATTAAAAAGCAGCAACAACGTGTAAGAGAATGAACTTGAAGGTGTGAACTAGAAACTGTTCGAAGTTCGACCCACAAGGTGAACCTAGTTCACACACCATCCAGCAATTCTGGGAACAGTTCGTTAGGCGCAAGTAGGAGGTTTTTCTGAACCGGTTCCGCGAAAATTTTGGAACTAGCTCATTCCAAACACCAGTTGGTCAATGACTTGCGTCAGCCTTGGCTACGCTGGGCCATAGTGGACGGGGCTGATGGGAGGGCTAGCTCATTCATTACGGAGTTGGAAGGGGTCTCAGAAGGTCATCCAATCCAACCCCCCCCTTCTGCAATTCAGGAATCACAATCCAAGCACTCCATGCTACAGTGCGCCTTGACACTGCAACCTCTGGAGAATTGATCTCACCCCCAGGTGTCCAGTTCAAATCTGCTCTCCAGCCCCTCAGGTGAGATGTTTGCACAGCAGAAAACTCAGACTTTAGACCCATTGTGTACTTAAACAGGGTTGCCAGCTTTCAAAAAGTGAAAATCCGGATGTTGAGCTTTTTTGGCAAAAAACAGAGACGGCTACTTTGGCCCCGCCCTTACCTGAGACTTTGGGGGCGGGGTTGCAGGAAAAGCCGCCGTTGGATTGGTCGCTCTCTCCAAACTCGTAGGACTCCCTCGGTTTCGGCTTGTATTCTCGCTTGGGGCGCGAGGAAGTGTCCCTCACTCTGGGTTCAGAAAGAAGAAGATTTGCCATGAGGAGCGAGATTAAAGCAAGTTTCAAATACAGTCGTACCTTGGAAGTCGAACGGAATCCGTTCCAGAAGTCCGTTCGACTTCCAAACATTCAGAAACCAAAGCGCGGCTTCCGATTGGCTGCAGGAAGCTCCTGCAGCCAATCAGAAGCTGCGGAAGCCCCGTCGGATGTTCGGCTTCCAAAAATAGTTCGCAAACCGGAACAGTCACTTCCGGCTTTGTGGCGTTTGGGAGCCAAAACGTTCGAGAACAAAGCTGTTTGAAAACCAAGGTACGACTGTATTGCAATCGACAAAAAAGACTCCCTCCACCCCAATTTCTTTTAAAAAAATACTCACTTATTATTTTTAAAAAACAAATGATTATAAACACGACTAACAGCCAATACCACGTTTAAACGCACGTTTTAAAAGAGTAAAGTCAAGGAAATCTACAGCTGGTCAATGGGAGATTGTTTTATTTACCGTATTTTTCGCTCTATAGGACGCACCGGACCATAGGAGGGGGAGAACAGGGGGGGGGGATTCTCCCCCTCTCTGCTCAGCGCCCCTTCAGTGAAGCGGCAGGAGAAAGGGAGCCCCTTCCTTCTTATTATTATTATTATTATTATTATTATTATTATTACAGTTCCACAGCGGTGGATGGCATGCCGAATTGTGCATTCTGCAGCAAAACGAGTGATTTGTGTGTGTGTGTGTTTCTTATGGGGGGGACTGGACCACACACAGTAGTGTTTACCTGCGTTTTAGTTTGTCTGCGAGCTCATCAAGGATTTGCACCGCTTGCCTGTGATAATCCAGCTGGGCGTCTACAAGCGCGGACAGCTGGCTGACTTGCTCAATCTGCAGTAAAACGGAAGAAGAGGCTGGTTAGTCGCACCAACAGGGTAAAGAACAGCTTCTATCCGTGGGCTGTTAGGCTGCTGAATGAAAAGGTAACAACAGGGCAACTGACTTTCGGGTTTGGTGGGTGTGCGTCAGTAAGGTAAAGGGACCCCTGACCATTAGGTCCAGTCGTGGCCGACTCTGGGCTTGCGGCGCTCATCTTGCTTTATTGGCCAAGGGAGCCGGCGTACAGCTTCCGGGTCATGTGGCCAGCAGGACTAAGCCGCTTCTGGCGAAGCAGAGCAGCGCACGGAAATGCCGTTTACCTTCCCGCCGGAGCGGTACCTATTTATCTACTAGCACTTTGACGTGCTTTCGAACTGCTAGGTTGGCAGGAGCAGGGACCGAGCAACGGGAGCTCACCCCGTCGTGGGGATTCGAACGTGCGTCAGTAAATGAGGGGAATTAAGACTAAGAGAGCGGAGTGGGGGGTGCCCGTGTAATCTCACTGTATACAAGTTGTACAAGTGACAATAAAGTATTTCAAATGTTCAATGTTTTGTTTTATAATGAAATGATTTTAGAATGTTGTATTATTTTGCTGTCGTTAGCCGCTCTGAGCCCGGCTTTGGCTGGGGAGCGCGGGATATAAATAAATTATTATTGTTGTTGTTGTCTTAAAAAAGAGAGCCTGGCTTTTGGCAGAGGCGCCCACGATTAGATCAGTGTGCAACCTAACTCGCAGAGAAGAGGGGCGTGGGTTCCGGAGGTCCGGAGGGAGCCTGGGTCCAAACCATACTCACGTCCGTCTCCAGTAGGTTGTGCATGCTCGTCTCTGCCACTTCCTTCGACTCCTCGAACTTCTCCAGCGCTTGCCGCAGCTCCTCGTCCGGGATCTTCCCCTGCCGCTTCTTTTTGTAGTCAAAGTCTAAGCGCCGGCCTTCCAGTTTCTTCAGATGGTGCTGCAGAGAGGAGAAGTCGAGGGGGGAAGTGAATTCCTCCCCGTAGAAGCACAAATGCAGTGGTACCTCTGGTTGCGAACGGGATACGTTCTGGAATCCTGTTCGCAACATGAGCAGAACACAACCCGCGTCTGTGCGGGTCACAATTCGCCGCTTCTGCGCATGATGCCATTTGGAGCGTCTGCACGAGCGGCGAAACCCGGAAGTAACCCTTTCCGGTACAGTGGTACCCCAGGTTAAGTACTTAATTCGTTCCAGAGGTCCGTACTTAACCTGAAACTGTTCTTAACCTGAAGCACCACTTTAGCTGATGGGGCCTCCTGCTGCTGCCGCGCCGCCGGAGCCCGATTTCTGTTCTCATCCTGAAGCAAAGTTCTTAACCTGAAGCACTATTTCTGGGTTAGCGGAGTCTGTAACCTGAAGCATATGTAACCTGAAGCGTATGTAACCTGAGGTACCACTGTACTTCCGGGTCGCCGCGGGATGCAACCTGAAAACGCTTAACCTGAAGCAAACGCAACACGAAGTGTGACTGTAACAGCAAGTTTTTGGGTCTTGAACCTCGCCCCGATCCGGAAGCACGTTAGCAACCTTGCAGGACGTGTGCAAACCACGAATAAAGACTCACCCGGGAGGCACTTCCAGCGCCAAGCGAAGTGGTTAAGGGACTAGGGGCCAGATTCAGTGCGCTAGCAGAAGCCAGTGCAAAACTCCCAACACCACAACAGGGGTCTCCCCCTCCATTTTACCTGCGTCCCCCATGCCTCTCCCAAATCCCGGAGGGTTGGGAGAACTGCCAGCAATGGGGAGGAGAGATTGTTCCGTCAAGCAAGCAGGAACACTGGCCCTAAAAGATCTACACTGGCTCCCAGGATGTTTCCGAGCACAATTTAAATTGCTGGTGCTGAGCTTTAAAGCCCTAAATGGCCTGGGTCCTGTAGACCTGAAGGAGCGTCTCCACCCCCATTGTTCAGCCTGGACATGGAGGTCCAGCTCCAAGGGCCTTCTGGCGGTTCCCTCCCTGCGAGAAGTGAGGTTACAAGGAACCAGGCAGAGGGCCTTCTCAGTGGTGGCGCCCGCCCTGTGGAACACCCTCCCATCAGATGTCAAGGAAATAAACAGCTATCTGACTTTTAGAAGATATCGGAAGGCAACTTTGATGTCTGGCGTTATCGTGTGCTCTTTTATATTCAGTTGGAGCAGCTGGAGCAACCCAGTCAGATGGGCGGGGTGCAAGCGATAAATTATTATGATAACTACTTCGCTGACAGAACAATCATATCAGCGCAAGGTTGAGTTCCACCCTAGGACTTGAGACCCAAGGTCCAAAATCCCCGTTTAGGTATGAAATGACTCATTGCCTCTCAATCTATCCAAGCTCATGGAGTCGGTGTGTGAGGGTAAACAGGGCAGGGGATGGGGGAAGTGAAGCATACAGCATTTCCTTATTTACAAAAGCATTTCTGCACTGCCCCATCACAGAATCATAGACTCATAGAGCTGGAAGGGACCTTCAAAGGTCTTCAAGTCCAACCCCCTGCAATGCGGTGATCGTATCAGGGTGCAACTACAGAACATTAAACACTATTGAAAGCAACAGAAAGAATCCTAACTAGTGACTGAATACAGGTAGGGAGCCGTGTTGGTCTGACGCAGTCGAAATAGATTAAAAAATTGTCCAGTATCACCTTAGAGACCAACTAAGTCTGTTCTGGGTATAAGCTTTCGCGTGCATGCACACTTCTTCAGATACCAAATAGTCAGTTTGAAAAGTCACTATACAGATACTGAACAGTCAATTTAAAAAGTCACTTCCGGGTTTGCAGCGTTTGGGAGCCAAAACGTTCAAGAACTAAGCTGTTCGAAAACCGAGGTACGCCTGTAAAGGTAAAGGGACCCCTAACTATTAGGTCCAGTCGTGGCTGACTCTAGGGTTGCGGCGCTCATCTCGCTTTACTGACTGAGGGAGCCGACGTACAGCTTCCAGGTCATGTGGTCAGCATGACTAAGCCGCTTCTGGAGAATCAGAAATAGTGCTTCAGGTGAAGAACTTTGCTTCAGGATAAGAACAGAAATTGGGCTCCGGCGGCGCAGCGGCAGCAGGAGGCCACATTAGCTAAAGTGGTGCTTCAGGTTAAGAACAGTTTCAGGTTAAGTACGAACCTCCGGAAGGAATTAAGTACTTAACCCGAGGTACCACTGTATAGTGGCACCTTGGTTTACGAACTCAATCCGTTCCAGAAGTCCATTCTTAAACCAAAGCGTTCTTAAAGGTACCACCGTATTATGGTTTTTGTTGTAGTGTCTTTTGCGGTTGTTGTTTGTATCGAAAAAATGATTAAACACCGTATTTTTCGCTCTATAAGATGCACCAGACCATAAGACGCACCTAGTTTTGGGAGGAGGAAAACAAGAAAAAAAATATTCTGAATCTCAGGAGCCAGAACAGCAAGAGGGATCGCTGCGCAGCGAAAGCAGCAATCCCTCTTGCTGTTCTGGCTTCTGGGATAGCTGCGCAGCCTGCATTCGCTCCATAAGACGCACACACATTTCCCCTTACTTTTTAGGAGGGGGAAAAGTGAGTCTTATAGAGCGAAAAATATGGTATTTTTTTAAAAAAAACTCTTTCTCCCAGTTCTTCTCCTCCAAGCTGTTCACCCCCCAGTTCTTCCCAACTTCTGTCTTCTGAACTATGCCCCTCTGCAAACCACTGCTCCAAATCTATACTGCCCTCTTGCTCCTCAGCATGGACCCCGACGACAAGGCAGCTGCCTACGTTCTTATCCTATCAAGTGCAACCGCGGTTACCTGGATCTCTTTCAAGTCCTTGTCGCACAAGTTCTGAAGGGGATCAATGAAGTTCTGCTTGACCTCGATGTCCAGAGAGTCCTTAACCTCGGCCAAGCGCTTCATGGACTCGCCAGCGTCGAGCAGCGCGTCGCCTTCGTGCGGGGCGAAAGGGAAACAGCACCGCCGGGAGAGCGGGGATGAAGGGAAGAAGAAGAAGAGTTTGGATTTGATATCCCACTTTATCACTACCCGAAGGAGTCTCAAAGTGGCCAACATTCTCCTTTCCCTTCCTCCCCCACAATCTGTGAGGTGAGTGGGGCTGAGAGACTTCAGAGAAGTGTGACTGGCCCATGGTCACCCAGCAGCTGCAGGTGGAGGAGCGGGGAAGCGAACCCAGTTCACCAGATTACGAGTCTACCGCTCTTAACCACTACACCACACTGGCACTGGGAGAGACAAGATAGCTGGTTAAAAGGAAAGTATACCGAAGGAACGGAAAAGATTGCTTATGTACGCTACGATGGCTGGCCAAGGGAAGACAACAAGATACCCGCTAGGGTGGACTGGCAGATGAAACTATTGGATTACACAGAGATGACAAGATTAAAATCAGAAATCAGGAGGATCAAGAGAACGGGACAAATTTATATCGTATCTGAAAGACCACGCTTTGGCAGGTTTTAAATAACTCTTGCAATGATACATAGACTTTGGATACAATAAGGTAAAGGTAAAGGGGCCCCTGACTATTAGGGCCAGTCGTGGCTGACTCTGGGGTTGCAGCGCTCATCTCACTTTACTGGCCAAGGGAGCCGGCGTACAGCTTCCGGGTCATGTGGCCAGCATGACTAAGCCACTTCTGGCAAACCAGAGCAGCGCACGGAAACGCCGTTTACCTTCCCGCCGGAGCGGTACCTATTTATATACTTGCACTGGCGTGCTTTCGAACTGCTAGGTGGGCAGGAGCAGGGACCGAGCGACGGGAGCTCACCCCGTCGCGGGGATTCGAACCGCCGACCTTCTGATCAGCAAGTCCTAGGCTCTGTGGTTTAACCCACAGCGCCACCCGTGTCCCATTCATTCATTTGCATCCCTGTAAATAAGAAGGACTTATAATACACAGTTATAAAAGTTACTTAAAGAACCCACAGAGGGGAGGAGGGACGTTTTGAGATTCGAAAGATTTTTAATTTATTTTTTGTGTGATCAGGAGTGCGAAGGAATTTGTAAAATCAAATAAAAACTATTTTAAAAAAAACCAACAAACTATATTTTAAAGATAAAAGAAATAAAAGGAAAGCAAGAATGCAAAGCAGCCTTGGCAAGGCTGTGCAAAACCCACAAGGGCGAGACCGGACAGGCTACCGTTCAGCGACATAGCGCCTGCTCTGCATGGGGAAGTTTGCAGGTAGGGGATGCCTCTCTCTGCCCCAGCTGCAACAAAACATGTCTCTCCTGTAGTGGTCTCTATGGCCACAGGAGGCGCGGTAACTCTCCAATGGTTAGAGTACCCTCTTCCATTGTCACCTGAAACACAGACGGATGCCAACCAAGCAACCTCATAATAATAATACAGTGGTACCTTGCAAGACGAATGCCTCGCAAGACAAAAAACTCGCTAGACGAAAGGGTTTTTTGTTTTTTGAGCTGCTTCGCAAGACGATTTTCCCTATGGGCTTGCTTCGCAAGACGGAAACGTCTGGCAAGTTTGTTTCCTTTTTCTTAACACCGTTAATACAGTTGCGACTTGACTTCGAGGAGCAACTCATAGAACACGGTGTGGTAGCCTTTTTTGAGGTTATTGAAGACTTTGGTGACTTTTGAAGCTTTTCCAAAACTTTCCCGACACCGTGCTTCGCAAGACGGAAAAAACCGCAAGACGACAAAACTCGCGGAACGAATTAATTTCGTCTTGCGAGGCACCACTGTAGTGAGGAGATTTACCCTCACTCAGGGGTGTCAGGCAACAATCCTGGCCCCAGACGGCCCCTCCTGGCCCCCAGGTGCCTTCTCCCAACAAGAGAACAGGCATCGCTACGGGGTTAAGCCTGACCACTGCATCTTTCCCCACCTGCTCCATCAGAAGAGCCAGCCAAAAGGAAGAGGACTCTCCATCTTCCGGCTGACTGGATGCGTTTCCCGATTTATTAAGTTCAAAATCCACAAAGGATCTCTTCTCAGAGGACAATGCATCTGCCACACAGCCTGCTCTGGGAATTCAGAAGGAAGGAACTGGAGGGGTCTCCCTCCCACTTGGGAGAGGGGCATGCCCGATCTAATCCTGCCTAATAGAGCAATATGGGACGGACAACCCAGCCCACCCAATGATCCTCTCCCCCCCGCAAGAGAATACACATAGCTCTCCCGTGTCCCGTGTAATATGGGTAGGGCGCCCTCACCGAAATTGGAGTCTTCGCCCAGCTCCTTGCCGTAACGGATCATGGTCTCTCCTAGAAGGCCTTCCGACTGCGGGTAGCCTGGGTTCTTCACTTGCCCTCGGATCTTGGACACTGTGTTCAGCATAGTCAGCTTGGCCCGGGAGGCTGGTGTAGAAAAGAGACGGCAGTATAGCTGTCAACTTGCAGATTTGAAAACAAGGGACCAGCAGCCTCGAAAATAAGGGATCAGCAGCCAAAATAAAGGATTTTAGTCAACCAGCTGAAATACGAAGTGAAAAGGGACCAGATAATTTCGGAGAGCAGCGCCGGTTTTCAGCCCTTTGTTTCCAGAGGTTGCTGCTCAAGACACCAGCCGATGAAACACTGCAATTACCGTATTTTTCGCTCTATAGGACGCACCTGACCATAGGACGCACCTTGTTTTAGAGGGGGAGAACAAGAAAAAAAAAATCTCCCCCTCTCTGCTCAGCACCCCTTCTGCAAAGCGGCAGAAGAAACGGAGCCCCTTCCATTTCTCCTCCTGCTTGGCTGAAGGGGCGCTGCACAGCTCTCCCTCTCTGCTGAAGCCGGGAGAGTCTTGCTTTCCCAGCTTCAGCTAAAGGAACCTGAAGCCTTTGGAGCGCAGCGCAAGGTCCCGCTGCGCTCCAAAGGCTTCAGGCGGTGTGCACCGACCCGTCTCGCTCTCCAGGCTTCAGCAAAAGCAACGCAAAGCCTCCGGAGCGCGGAGGGAGTGCTCCCTCTGCGCTTTGCGTTGCTATCGCTGAAGCCAAGGAGCCTGCATGCGCTCCACAGGACGCACACACATTTCCCCTTAATTTTTGGAGGGGGAAAAGTGCATCCTATAGAGCGAAAAATATGGTAAATAACTACAAGCAGCAACCACTTTTCGCGCAAAACGAAGTCCAAGCTACGAAGATGCTGCTGCAGTTCTGTATCTTTTCTCTCGTGCTCCATCTGCAGCTCTCAGTTCCATCAGGTGGGGCGGGAGGAGAGGGGGGGAGATAGCACCCAAAGTAAACCCGCAGATCAGACCATCTATGCTAGTCTACCACTACAAATCTATGGGAGAAGCGCTTGCGGTCCTTCCCTTGCAGCCCTTGGAACACCTGCCAGCTCCTCCTCCTCCTCCTCCTCTCTCTGAACTGCTTCCTCTATGGTTGCCCTCACTCTCCTCTCAAGGCTTCTCAGCAATTCATAGGCCGCGCCAGGCTGTCCATCTCATCCAGGTCCTTCGGTGGTGCAGTTGCAGTATGGTCTAGCGGGAGCGGCGGCGACGGGCAGAGGGGAGGCCCCAGGCAGACACTCAGTTCGGCGGCTGCGAGGAGGATGGCAGCGGAAGGGCCCGAGGCTCCCGCCAGTCCCGGCGGGGAGGGGCTCCCGGGGGCCGAAGCTGGTGAGAAGAGGCCGGAGAGGGGCGGGCCGGGCCGCCAAGCAACACAGTTGGAGCCTCCCTCCTCCCTGGCCGGCAGGGAGGGAGGGAGAGGAGCTGCTTCCTTTGAAACCCGGGAAATTTAAGGGACATCATCAATAAGGGACAGCAGCGGGACACAGCGCTGGGATAAGGGACTTTCCCACCAAATAAGGGACGGTTGACAGCTACGGACGGCAGCCACACGAGAGTTTCCATCAGACCGTCTTGCCAACGAGTCAAGGCGATTGCCAATAATTAAGCAGGGGAGGGAAACAGGAGAGGCTCGCCGGCCAAGAAAAGAAAATTCTATTGTCTTCGAACGACCCAGAAATATCAGGTAATGGTCGTTTTTCCAGGGCCGCAGGCAGAAAATAGTCCAGCCCGGAACTTGCCAGAAGTGAGGGGGGTGTGTGTGCGCGAAAGCTACGGACTCCCTGATCTTCTGGCAAAGATCCAAATTAATCCCTGGGGTCCTCTTTGCAGAAGTGGTTACGGGAAGCCTGCTGGAATGCAACCCAAATGCCAAGAATCGGGAGCAGGCCGCACGGACCGCCTTGCCGGCTGGCTCAGCAACAGAAGACACAGTGCGTGTCGAAAGCCACCTTCAGCTCAAAGGGACAGGTCAGCAAACGGGGGGTGGGGAGGAAGACCCCTTCTCTTCCTGAAAGCTTGGTGGGTGATTGGCAGCTTCTGCAGGCGAGCTATTTTTGACAAACCCCCCCCCCTAAAAAAAGCTCAACAACCCTGGGTAAAGGTAAAGGGATCCCTGACCATTAGGTCCAGTCGTGACCGACTCTGGGGTTGCGGCGCTCATCTCGCTTTACTGGCCGAGGGAGCTGGCGTACAGCTTCCGGGTATGTGGCCAGCATGACTAAGCCGCTTCTGGCGAACCAGAGCAGCGCACGGAAACGCCGTTTACCTTCCCGCCAGAGCGGTACCTATTTATCTACTTGCACTTTGACGTGCTTTTGAACTGCTAGGTGGGCAGGAGCAGGGACCGAGCAACGGGAGCTCAGCCCGTCGCGGGGATTCGAACCGCCGACCTTCTGATTGGCAATCCCTAGGCTCTGTGGTTTAGACCATATCACCACCCGCATCCCTCAACAACCCTGGGTAAACCACAGCAAAAAAAACTCAACAACTCTGTGCTATCTCCTCCCATTTTCTTAAATTTGAGTCCTCCCTGCAGGCAGAAGAGAGGCGCTGTGCAATATTTATGGACCATGAAGTTATCTGGCACCGGGCTACCCCTCGAGTCTTCTGACTCTGAAAAGGTGGGAGAGGGGGGAAGGTTTAAATAGCGCCTGTTCTGAAGAGACCGCTCTGTCGGATGTCTTAAGTGTTCCTTCCGCCACTCTAAAATGTGGATTTCCCCCCCACTGCGGTTCTTGTATCTGGCTTTTTACTTCCGATATTTTTAGGATGTTGCAAGCCGCTTAAGAGACTTCCTTTGGAATGCGAGGCGATGTAAGAGCCATCGACAGGAATAAATAAAATAGGCGCAGGGTGCGCGCGCACACAGCCCAAGCACACCCCGGCTGATTAAACCAGGATCTGATCACCGAAAAGCAGTCAAAGAAGTCGCCACGAAAACTCAGCAAAAAACGATTTCCCCCGTGACCACAAAATACAGATCAAGTAAGAAAAAACACACACAGAGGTCTAAGCAAAAACAAAACAGGAGTCAGAGACCGTGGTATCGGTGAAGAAATGGTGTGTGTGTGTGTGTGTGTGTGTGTGTGTGTGTGTGTGTAGCACCAGCTACAGAATAAGATGCAGGGGACTTCATTACGCCAGAAGATTTCACACTGCATCGAGCAACGTTAAGCGAAACAAAACCACCCGTCCCTTTCTGGCTGCAGAAATGGGTTGTGCTGTTTTTTTCCACCCGAGTGAAGTGCCAAAATTCCCATGCAGATGTTCCACATCAAAATCACAGCTTTCTGCTGGAAGAGCACCGCCTCTTGTCTAGCAAGACAAAACTCTGTGGTGCTGGGGAATTGGGGCTGTGGATGTCGTTCAGGCACAGGCAAACTCGGCCCTCCAGATGTTTTTTGGGACTACAACTCCCATCGTCCCTGACCACTGGTCCTGCTAGCTAGGGGTGATGGGAGTTGTAGTCCCAAAACATCTGGAGGGCAGAGTTTGCCTATGCCTGGTGTTGTCGGACTCCAACTCCCATCATTCCCTACTGCTGGCTGCACTGACTGCTGGGAGATGGAGTCCAAGAAGGTCTCAAGGAAGGAAGTAGAATTTGTTTCAGAAAGCAAATGCATTTTTTTAAAAAAAGAACCAATTCTAGACAAAATTCGCAAAATGGGGGGAAAAGCTCAGCTGCCACTTAGCCATGGCAAAGGGCCTTACCAGGATTGGGCTGGAGGTATTCCGTAGTCCTAGCCAAGACTTCTGTAACAGCTTTGCTGGTGAGATCCACTTTCTGTAGAAAAGGAAGCAACGCATTGACAATACAAAAACGGCAGCAGGCCACAGTTAACTCCAATGGCTGGAGAAGATTAACCACTTTCAGTGGAAATGCAAATCCAGAACATTGTTATTAAAAAAGGTAATGGTATAAAGGACCCCTGGAAACTTTTAATAAAGAGTATTGTCAGATCAGGTGGGATATATATACCTATATATCTAGTAAAGGTAAAGGCCCCGTGGAAGGTTAAGTCCAGTCAAAGGCGACTGTGGGGTTGTGGCGCGCATCTCGCTTTCAGGCCGAGGGAGCCGGCGTTTGTCCGCAGACAGCTTTCCGGGTCATGTGGCTAAACCGCTTTCGGTGCAACGGGACACCGTGATGGAAACCAGAGCACACGGAAATGCCGTTTACCTTCCCGCTGGAGTGGTACCTATTTATCTACTTGCACTGGTGTGTTTTCAAACTGCTAGGTTGGCAGGAGCTGGGACAGGGCAATGGGAGCTCACCCCGTCGCGGGGATTTGAACTGCCGACTTTCCAATCGGCAAGCGCAAGAGGCTCAGCGGTTTAGATCACAGTGCCACACGCATATGTTCTGTAGGACCTAGAACAGCCTTCCCATGGAGTGCCCTGCATCAGTTTGGGGAAGGTCTGTACCAGCCTTTTTCAATCTTGGGTCCCCAGATATCGTTACACTACAATTCCTATTATCTCTGACCACTGGTCCTGTTAGCTAGAGATGGTGGGAGTTCCCCAACCCTGATGTGGGCCAGCCTGAAGTTGAGCCCAGTTGCCAGAGGACTCATTTCATGTATTATGGTGGTGGTGGTGATGATCAAATTTATATACCGCTCTATACCCGGAGGTCTCAGGGCGGTGCACATAATAAGATCACAATGAATAAATAAAATAAAATAAAATAATAAAATAAAATAAAATAAATAAAATAAATAAAAAATAAAAGCAATAACCCAATAACCCCCCTCCCCAAAAAGAGCCACATTTTAAAAGGGTATAGGATATCCATCAGGTCAACCAAAGGCCTGATTAAAAAGGAACGTTTTTGCCTGGCGCCTAAAGGTGTATAATGAAGGCGCCAGGCGAACTTCCCTGGGGAGAGCATTCCACAAACGGGGAGCCACTGCAGAGAAGGCCCCGTTCTCGTGTTGCCACCCTCCGCACCTCTCGAGGAGGAGGCACATGAAGGAGGGCCTCGGAAGATGATCTCAGGGTCTGGGTAGGTTCATATGGAAAGAGGCGGTCCTGGAGGTATTGAGGTCCTGAGCCGTTTAAGGCTTTATAGGTCAGCACCAGCACTTTGAATTGGGCCCAGAAACTCATTGGTGGCCAGCTCAGTCGGACCAGGATCAGTGTAATATGCTTAAACCGTCTTGCTCCGGTGAGCAACCTGACCGCTAAATTCTGCACCAGGTGAAGTTTCCAAACCGTCTTCAGGGGCAGCCCTACGTATAACGCATTGCATTAATGTAACCTCGAGGTTACCAGAGCATAGACATGAATGTGCCATCCCCTGCACCCATGTGCAACGTTGCTTTTCCTCTACTCACCTTTTCCATTTCCTTGAAGTCTTCATCTAGCTTGGTGCCCTCGGCTCCTCCAACCTTCTCGCTAACCATCTTTAAAGAAAACAACAAACACAAAGAACGTTTCAGCTGGCAGCTGCTCAGCTAACACACAATTTCAGAATTGTCAACTTTTTTTTCTTACTGTTTTTGCGGGAGAAACAGATTGGGCACCTTTCAATTATCTTGCTCTTTTATTGAGGATTTTTTTCTCCATAACAGCAACTAAAAACAGGTAGGTAGCCGTGTTGGTCTGACACAGTCGAAATAAATTAAAAAATTGTCTGGTAGCACCTTAGAGACCAACTAAGTTTGTTCTGGGTATAAGCTTTTGTGTGCATGGTATCTGAAGAAGTGTGCATGCACACAAAAGCTTATACCTGGAACAAACTTAATACCTAGAACACTGCAGATGGTGACAGCAGCCACGAAATTAAAAGATGCCTGCTTCTTGGGAGAAAAGCAATGACAAACCTAGACAGCATCTTAAGAAGTAGAGACATCACCTTGCCAACAAAGGTCCGTATAGTAAAAGCGATGGTTTTCCCAGTAGTGATGTATGGAAGTGAGAGCTGGACCATAAAGAAGGCTGATTGCCGAAGAATGGATGCTTTTGAATTCTGGTGCTGGAGGAGACTCTTGAGAGTCCCGTGGACTACAAGGAGATCAAATCTCTCCATTCTGAAGGAAATCAGCCCTGAGTGCTCACTGGAAGGACAGATCCTGAAGCTGAGGCTCCAAGACTTTGGCCACCTCATGAGAAGAGAAGACTCCCTGGAAAAGATCCTGATGTTGGGAAAGACCCGGCGGCAAGAAAACATATCTCTCTCCCACAACAGTTTCTATAGCCACAGCAGGAGCGGCGACCATCCTACAGTTCGACTTCACTCCAAAAAGCTCATTCCTCCATTGTCTTCAAAGACAGAAGCCAACCTAACCTAGAGTTTCCTTCCTTCCTTCCTTCCTTCCTTCCTTCCTTCCTTCCTTCCTTCCTTCCTTCCCTCCCTCCCTCCCTCCCTCCCTCCCTCCCTCCCTCCCTCCTCCCTTCCTTCCTTCCTTCCTTCCTTCCTTCCTTTTCTCTTTATCTCCCTTCCTCCCTTCGAAAAGGGGTGGGGATCTGATCAGAAGAATGTTGTAGCTTGGTAAGGACAAAAAAGAATGGGGGGAAAATTAGCATCTACCTAAGGGACCACTACAGGGACACGGGTGGTGCTGTGGGTTAAACCACTGAGCCTAGGACTTGCTGATCAGAAGGTCGGCTGTTCAAATCCCCGCGACGGGGTGAGCTCCCATTGCTCGGTCCCTGCTCCTGCCAACCTAACAGTTTGAAAGCACGTCAAAGTGCAAGTAGATAAATAGGTACTGCTCTGGCAGGAAGGTAAACGGCGTTTCCGTGCGCTGCTCTGGTTCGCCAGAAGCGGCTTAGTCATGCTGGCCACATGACCCGGAAGCTGTACGCCGGCTCCCTCGGCCAATAAAGCGAGATGAGCGGCACAACCCCAGAGTTGGTCACAACTGGACCAGGGTCAGGGGTCCCTTTATCTTTACGGGACCACTGCAAGAAGATGAAAACATGAGCAGGATTTTAATCTCACTTGCAATGCAACAAACGTTATGGACAATATGGATTGATATGGAATACAGGCTACGGAATAATATGCAGTTTTAAATGTTAACAACAGGACCCACGGAGGGGATGGGTCTCAAGATTCAGAGAAATCTCTATACGTGGATGTATTTGGAAAATCAAATAAAAACGATTTCGAAAAAGGAAAATGTTGTAGCTTGGTAGGTGTCTCCTCCTTTTCTGTTTGCGTCTCTGCACCTTCCTCTCTGCCGCGCTCCTGCAACAACACGTTCATCGTTGCGACGAACACAGAACAAACATTGCTCTAGCGGAGCCTATAAAAACAAGAGGATAAAGGACGCCGGGGTTTTAAAGCTCAGTTAAAGAAAGGTCTGGGCAAAGTGCCGAAAACGCGAGGCCTCCGCGGGGAAGTGATTCCATGGACGGGACGGGACCACTGTAGAGGTCCTTCTCTACGGTTGAAAACTCTTCTCTACAAGATGACATCTGTTTGTTCCAGTGCACAATAAGGTCAACAGGAGGGCAGGTGCTCCTTCGGATGTAGTCACCCACCAGGATGACAATTCCTCTCCTTCCTTCCTGCCTTCCACTACCACCGGCAAGGTCATCTCTGGAGGGTCACCCGCTTCTATGGGGAAAACATTGCCCTTGGAGGGGAGGCGGGAGGCTGCCTGCAGAGCCTCAGTCTGTGGAGCACGAGACGCTTCATCTCAGGGCCATGCGTTGAAGCCCCAAACTGAGCAGAAGATTCCTCCGTTGCCGGGGACTGGAGTAGATGACTCCCGCGGTCCCTTTCCAACTTTGCAATTTCTAAGATGAAGCATTCAGCCCCGATACAGTCATTGTTGTTGTTGTTTAGTCGTGTCCGCCTCTTCGTGACCCCCTGGACCAGAGCACGCCAGGCACTCCTGTCTTCCACTGCCTCCCGCAGTTTGGTCAAACTCATGCTGGTAGCTTCAAGAACACTGTCCAACCATCTCGTCCTCTGTCGTCCCCTTCTCCTTGTGCCCTCCATCTTTCCCAACATCAGGATCTTTTCCAGGGGGTCTTCTCTTCTCATGAGGTGGCCAAAGTCTGGGAGCCTCAGCTTCAGGATCTGTCCTTCCAGTGAGCACTCAGGGCTGGTTTCCTTCAGAATGGAGAGGTTTGATCTTCTTGCAGTCCATGGGACTCTCAAGAGTCTCCTCCAGCACCAGAATTCAAAAGCATCCATTCTTCGGCGATCAGCCTTCTTTATGGTCCAGCTCTCACTTCCATACATCACTAGATACAGTCATACCTCGGGTTAAATATGCTTCAGGTTGAGCGTTTTCAGGTTACGTTCCACAGTGACCCGGAAGTAACGGAACGTGTTATGTCTGGGTTTCACCGTTCGCGCATGCACAGACACTCAAAATGATGTCACGCGCATGTGCAGATGCGGCAAATCGCAACCCACGCAGACGCAGGTTGCGTTCGCTTCAGGATGCGAACGGGGCTCTAGAACAGATCCCGTTCGCATCCAGAGGTACCACTGTACTGAGTGGCAAGGCCCTTCCTGAGAGGGGATCTTGAAAAGAGGAGGGAGGGCAAGATCCATCCATGCACAATTCTGTGGCAGAAGAGCTGTACACATCGGCGACAGAAATTCCCCAGGCGCCAGGTGCGTGCCGAACTGCAGCCACGTGACAGATCCAGTCGTGGCTGACTCTGGGGTTGCGGCGCTCATCTCGCTTTATTGGCCAAGGGAGCCGGCATACAGCTTCCGGGTCATGTGGCCAGCATGTCTAAGCTGCTTCTGGCGAACCAGAGCAACGCACGGAAAGGCCGTTTACCTTCCCGCCGGAGTGGTACCTATTTATCTACTTGCACCGGCGTGCTTTCGAACTGCTAGGTTGGCAGGAGCAGGGACCGAGCGACGGAAGCTCACCCAGTCGCAGGGATTCGAACCGCCAACCTTCTGATCGGCAAGTCCTAGGCTCTGTGGTTTAACCCACAGCGCCACCCGCGTCCCTATCTTTAAAACATACAGTGCTATAGAAAAGTAATTAATTATAATTATAAGTAAAATAATAATGAAAGGGGGAAAGATGGCGTCCCAGACATTCTGTTGTGCGTGACTCTGACCCAGGTTCGAGGTGGCATTTGGTGATTAGCCGATATAACTGTGGCACACATGCCTTACCTAAAAAACCCACCACACAGACAAACATCCTGCTATCATGAAGTTTCAACAAATGACTCACTTGGGCACACAGTGCGCTGCGGACTGCAGATAAATATTAGGCTGATCTGCACGTTTGTGTGCAACTTTCCCTCTTTGGCACTTTCACTTTGAACTAGTTACGCCCAGTGCAAAGTGCTCTAGCTATTTTTCCGGAGCCTGGAGCTCAGGGTGTAGTGCGATCCCTGGAAGTCTGGAGACCCACTACAGATAGGACCGAGCTAGACACTGTGGTCTAAACCACTGAGCCTCTTGGGCTTGCCGTTCAGAAGGTCGGCGGTTCGAATCCGCACAAGAGGTGAGCTCCTGTTGCTCTGTCCCTGCTCCTGCCAACCTAGCAGTCCGAAAGCACACCAGTGCAAGTAGATAAATAGGTGCCACTCCATCGGGAAGATAAACAGCATTTCTGTGTGTTCTGGTTTCCGTCATGGTGTCCCGTTGCACCAGAAGCGGTTTAGTCCTTGACCCGGAAAGCTGTCTGTGGACAAACGCCGGCTCCCTCGGCCTGAAAGCGAGATGAGCGCCGCAACCCCATAGTCGCCTTTGACTGGACTTAACCATCCAGAGGTCCATTATCTATTTACCTTTACCTAGACGGACCTATAGACTGGTTTAGTGTCAAGGCAGCTTTCTGCGCTCCTAAGAAGCCTTAATAGGCCAGAGATTGAAATCTTTGCTGCGCATCAGCAATTGACGCTGCTGAACAAGGAACCATACAGTGGTATCTCGGGTTAAGTACTTAATTCGTTCCGGAGGTCCGTTCTTAACCTGAAACTGTTCTTAACCTGAAGCACCACTTCAGCTAATGGGGCCTGCTGCTGCTGCTGCGCCGCCGGAGCACGATTTCTGTTCTTATCCCGAAGCAAAGTTCTTAACCTGAAGCACTATTTCTGGGTTAACAGAGTGTGTAACCTGAAGCGTATGTAACCTAAAGCGTATGTAACCTGAAGCGTATGTAACTCGAGGTACCACTGTATTGCTTTCAGTGCTGCAATAGGGACCAGGCCTCCTCAGAGCATTCTGTGAACCCTCGGGTCCTTCTAGCCCCAAGCCTGCTCTCCAGAGATGTGCAAAAGAGACGCCCACACCTTTGAGAATGGAAAGAAAGAAAAAACCCTTTCCACTGTTCACTGTGATCATTTATTTACACAGTGGCATCTATGTGCATGGCACACTGAAAATAGAGGTGCGAAGGCTCAGGGAAGAGGGAGGAAAAATGAGGGGGGGGGGTTAATTCTTGATTTCCAAGTTTTCACATCTCTA